AACCAATCTCTCTTCTCTGTCCTTGTCATCATGGCTGTTTTCATTTGGAGAGACCTGAGATATGGAGCCCTGGGAGCTGGGCCTGTGGCCTGGGCCTCCCGGCTCCGTATGGACGCTCGTGGGTCAGAGCTGGGAGGCAGGCTGCGTTCCTGCACGCCGTGTTCCACACGCTGCGTTCCTACCCAATGTGTTCCACACGCTGCATTCCACATGCTGTGTTCCACACGCTGCATTCCTACCCAATGTGTTCCACACGCTGCATTCCACATGCTGTGTTCCACACGCTGCATCCCTACACAATGTGTTCCACACGCTGCATCCCTACACAATGTTCCACACGCTGCATCCCTACACAATGTGTTCCACACGCTGCATCCCTACACAATGTGTTCCACACGCTGCATTCCTACACAATGTGTTCCACACGCTGCATTCCACATGCTGTGTTCCACACGCTGCATTCCACATGCTGTGTTCCACACGCTGCATCCCTACACAATGTGTTCCACACGCTGCATCCCTACACAATGTGTTCCACACGCTGCATTCCTACACAATGTGTTCCACACGCTGCATTCCACATGCTGTGTTCCACACGCTGCATTCCACATGCTGTGTTCCACACGCTGCATTCCTACACAATGTGTTCCACATGCTGTGTTCCTACACGATTGTGTTCTACATGCTATATTCCTACACGCCATGTTCTACACGCTGTATCCCTACACACTGTGTTCCACACGCCGTGTTCTACATGCTATATTCCTACACGCTATGTTCTGCATGCTGTGTTCCTACACACTGTGTTCCACATCCTGTATTCCTACACGCCGTGTTCTACATGCTGTGTTCCATATGTTGTATTCCTACACGCCATGTTCTACACGCTGCATCCCTACATGCCGTGTTCTACACTCTGTATTCCTACACGCCGTGTTCCACATGCCGTGTTCCACATCCTGTATTCCTACACGCCGTGTTCTACATGCTGCATTCCTACACGCCATGTTCCACACGCTGTATTCCTACACACTGTGTTCTACATGCTGCATTCCACATGCTGTGTTCCACACGCTGCATCCCTACATGCCGTGTTCTACACTCTGTATTCCTACACGCCGTGTTCCACACGCTGCTTCCACATGCTGCATTCAACGCCGTGTTCCACATGCTGCGTTCCACTTTGAGTCATGTACTTCCTGCTTTTCCCCATCCTCGTTTGGAAACTTCTGGTGACTCTATGTGCACCATAAGCTCGGGCTGAGATACAAGACACTGTATGTCAGTTTTCACCATGTAGCCTGTCACTCCGTTTACCCTCCATACGCGTGTGGCTGCCACTTCTGCCTGTAATATCTGACCAACTGTGTGGAGGAAGACGTCCTACTCAGTTCTGTGAACCATTGAGGGTAACTAATATGAAAAACAGAAGATAGCCAAACGCCCCCATGATCATGAGACTCCATGTGCGTGTTGGGCTGCCTTAGGGACTTTCCAGGTACAAAGGACACAGGACAGACTGGGGGATTTCTATTTATGTCACTCAAGAAACACATTTTCCAGGCTCTCCATCTGACCTCTCTGCTTCCTGAGGGCTCACTGGGGCCACTCAAAATTATTTCTGGATCTCTATACCATCTTGTTGCTTTGATGATAACTTCATTCAAGGAGCATTTGAAGGGTTAAACACAGCCAATATTCCTTTAAACCAGGGTCCTGGGCTCTGAGGGCAAATCAGAGTGGAGACAGCACTTGAGACAGGACCCCCTCCCGCCCCCCACCACCTAAGAAGGTACTGGGGAGCATTCGTCGGGGGGAAAGTCAGCCTGGGCCTGCAGAGGGAGAAATAAGCCTTTCCAAGCTTACTTTTACAGTCAGCTTTTCTCTCTGGTTTATTAGAAAGAGAAAAGGGGCTGGGCACATAGCTCAGTGGTACAACCCTGGGCTATCATGTGGAAGGCCCCGGGTTCGACCCCTAGCACCAGGAAAGTAAAGTGGAGAAGAGGATGGGGGAGACACAAAGGACCAAGCTCTTGGCATTTTCCAGAGCGCACAGATCTGTGTACAACTAGTGTCAAACCCGGCTGCGCCGCGGGACATCTCTGTGGCTCTTCACTCCCTCTTGTGGTGAGGTGGTGTCTCCACGCTCTAACTTGCACAGATCACGTTGGCGTGATGTCGGGCAGAAGTCAAGCACAAGATTCCCTCTTCCAGGAGGGATAGATGATGTGAATTTTATATAAATGAGATTGTAAGTGACCATATAAATGACTGAAATTTTACTCTTGAAGTGGGATCTGAATTCATATATACAATCACAGGGCCACAACGTGTGTAGCATTTCTGGAATTGTTATGTTGTAGATGGTATTCTTGTTCTTCCCGGCAGTGGCAAAGAGGGCCGAGGCAGGCGCTCCAACTCCAGAGGCCCCTTTAGGAGTCCCAGTCAGGATAAGAGTTCTAAGAAAGCATGCCCATTTGTCTATTAGTTGATTGATTAGAAGCTATTATGGTTATATTAAAAGATACTGGCCAGGTGCTCGTGGCTCATGCCTGTCATCCTAACTACTCAGGAGGCTGAGATCTGAGGATTGCAGTTCAAACCCAGCCCGGGCAGGAAAGTCCCTGAGACTCATCTCCAATAAACCACTAGAAAACCAGAAGTGGCGCTGTGGCTCAAGTAGTAGAGCGCTTGCCTTGAGCTGAAGAGCTGAAGGACAGCGCCCAGGCCCAGAGTTCAAGCCCCACAATGGACAAAAAAAAAAGAAAGAAAAAAAAAGATACTGGACAGTGATCCGCCTTGGTTAGATCTAGAGAATAAAAGGAAGCAGGAGATGGATTGGTTTTTCAGTGTTTTTCCCCTGAAGGTAGCATGCTGATGTTCATATCGGTCCACACAGAACATGTCACTTAAGCAACTTCAAACCATTATTGAGAGGCAAGTGACTGTTTTCAGTTTAACAGAGTCAAGAACTATATTGGGCGTATGGGTGATGATTCTGTATATATTGTGGATATGAATTATTTCTAATAAAATTGGTTTACCACAAAGAAAGAAAGTGGACCACAAGTAGCTTCAGTGTTTTACAAGAGAAAAGAGCAGACTGGGAATTTCAGAGTACGTTGTGCATTGCTCTGGGTCATTCTCCATAGGTAGAGCTGGGCGTGTTTGTTAGGGCCTTTCCTGGGCCCCCTGAATCACTTTGTATCTGAGCCTCTGAGCCACTCTCTGCTGCAGTCACTTTGCAAACTGGTCGAGGTTATAGCTGGTTTGGAAACTAAACTCTGAACTGCTGCTGCACCTAATCCTTTCTCCGCTCCTCCTTCTCCTCCCAGGGTTTGGCCACAACCCCGAGGTACGTTTGCATAGCATGCTCCTTCCATGTCGGATTAAGTTTGACAACTGTATTTATGGCCTTGGTTCAGTCAAGTCCTATTTATTTTGGAACTCACTGGTTTTTTTTTTTTTTTACGTTGTAGGTTGTGGGGCCTGAACGCTGGGCGTCTCTCAGCTCTTCAGCTCAAGGCAAACACTCTACCACTTGAGCCACAGTGCCATCTCCAGCTTTTTCTGTATATGTGGTGCTGAGGAATCGAACCCAGGGCCTCATGCATGTGAGGTAAGCCGCTGAGCCACCTTCCCAGCCCCATGGCTATTCTCGATCTTGCTCACCCCGTTCCTCTCAGCTATGGTCTGTCAGTAGCTGGAAACTGATCTTGAGACTGGCTCCCTGGTAATGTCTGACAGACCCTAAATTCTGACTTGGGCCTTGGGCTGGATGTATCTCTCCTAGATTACAACAGGATTGATTTTGTACTTAAATTCCACACAGTCGGAGTGATATGTAGCCTTCACAGGTACTTCAGGCTGTTTCTGTTCTGTCAGGATTCAAGTGCAGAGAAGGCTGTTACCAGGCTTGGGAGATTTAGCTCTCCTGCCTGAGACGGTTTGCCTCCCCGGAGCTGGGAGCTGGGGACTGAACCAGGGTCCCCAGCATCCAGGCGGGCCTTGCCTCCCTGGGTTCCAGGGAGCGCCGGAGCTCAAAGGTCCCATCTGATAAGGCAGAAGTGGACCAGAGGCGACCCCAGCCAGGCGCTGACGGTGGAGGGAGGCGCGGGCAGGACGGCCTTGGAGTAGAGATGCTCAGCTCCGTGCCTAACTCGCGCAGGAGCGCTCAGCAGTTCTGGGGTCGCCCGGGACCCCACCTCGGGTGTCGGACAGCTCGGACGGCTCTGGGGTGACTTCCACACGGGAGGCCTGAGCAGGGGAAAAGAGGCCGCGAGTTCAAAGTCAGCTGCTGATGAGTGGTTCTGTCTGAGGCTGGCGGCGTGGAGTCTCCCCTCCCCCTCCCCCGTCCCCTCCCTCCCCCTCCCTCCCCCTCCCCCTCCCCCGTCCCTTCCCTCCCCCCGCCTCCCTCCCCCGCCCCGTCCCTCCCCCGCCTCCCTCCCCCTCCCCCTCCCTCCCCCGCCTCCCTCCCCCTCCCCCTCCCTCCCCCGCCCCCTCCCTCCCCCGCCTCCCTCCCCTCCCCCGTCTCCGCCTCCCTCCCTCCCCCTCCCCCCGCCTCCCTCCCTCCCCCTCCCTCCCTTCTCCCCCTCCCCCCGCCTTCCTCCCTCCCCCTCCCCCTCCCCCTCTCCTCCCCCTCGCTCCTCTCTCCGCCCCCCCTCCCGTGTCTCTCGGGCCCGGCCCGGCGCTGTCCCCGGCCTCCGGGGCTGGCGCGCCACCGCTCGCCACTTCCGGCCTGTGGTCCCAGGGGTCTCACGCAGGGACTTGCCGGCCCGGCCTGGCTTCGGACCCCGGCGCTCGGTCGCGGCCTCCGCGAGGCCCGGCGAGGGCAGGGCTCGGGCTGTCCCCTGGGCCGGCGCCCGGGCCCCGCTTCCCCCGCAGCGCGCCACCCCGCGGGACTACAACTCCCAGCAGGCCAAGCGCCCGCGCAGGCGCCCGCGGCGGCGACGGGCTGCGTCTGCCGGAAGTGGGCGTGCGGCCCGCCCCCTGCTCGCCGCTCAGCGCGGTTGGCACCGGCGGCGTCTGGGGACTCCGGCCGGAGCGGCGCTCGCTGCGGGCCGCACTCATGGCCTCGCTGCTGCGGTTCGACGGGCGCGTGGTGGTGGTCACCGGCGCGGGCGGAGGTGAGCCGCAGGCGCGGGCGCGCGCCTCCGTCGCCATGACAACCGGGGGGTGGGCCCGGGGAGGCCGGGGAGGGCCGGCGGGGGCCGGCGGGGGCCGGGGAGGCCGGGGAGGGCCGGCGGGGGCCGGGGAGGCCGGCGGGGGCCGGGGAGGCCGGCGGGGGCCGGGCCTCGGCGCCGTGGGGTCCGGGGAGGCCGGGGAGGGCCGGGCGGGCACCTGTCCGCGCCTCCCCGCGGCGGGAGGCTGCGCGGAGTCCGGGGTTCGTGCGGGCCGCGCGCGGCGGGCCTCCCGTGGGCGGCCGCGGCCTCCTCCGCGCGCGCGCGGGCGGGCCACCTTCCCAGGCCCCGCGGCCTGACCGGGAGGCGGCCCCGGGCACCGCCGAGCACGGCGCCTGTGGTACGCGGCCCCGGGCCCGGCGCACGCGCACGCGCAGTGTGGTACGCGGCCCGGGGCCCGGCGCACGCGCACGCGCAGTGTGGTACGCGGCCCCGGGCCCGGCGCACGCGCACGCGCAGTGTGGTACGCGGCCCGGGGCCCGGCGCACGCGCAGTGTGGTACGCGGCCCCGGGCCCGGCGCACGCGCACGCGCAGTGTGGTACGCGGCCCCGGGCCCGGCGCACGCGCACGCGCAGTGTGGTACGCGGCCCGGCCCCGCTCACCTTTCGCACAGTCGCGTCCCTGCCCTGCGCGCCCGCCCCCGGCCGTGGGTCCCGGGCGGGGGACCCCGGCGCAGGCGCAGTGCAGGATGCGGAGACCACGAGCGAGAAGCAGAGGACGGGGGGCCGGAGCGTAGGGCGGGGGCTCCGCCGCCTGGAGCCCAGCCCCGCGTCTGGCTTTTCCGAGTCCACAGACTGTGCTGCTGGGCCCGGTTCTGATCGCAGCCCTGGGCCTCGGCCTCTCCAGTGGCCGGGAGCGCAGCCCTGGGCCTCGGCCTCTCCAGTGGCCGGGAGCGCAGCCCTGGGCCTCGGCCTCTCCAGTGGCCGGGAGCGCAGCCCTGGGCCTCGGCCTCTCCAGTGAGCGCAGCCCTGGGCCTCGGCCTCTCCAGTGGCCGGGAGCGCAGCCCTGGGCCTCGGCCTCTCCAGTGAGCGCAGCCCTGGGCCTCGGCCTCTCCAGTGAGCGCAGCCCTGGGCCTCGGCCTCTCCAGTGGCCGGGAGCGCAGCCCTGGGCCTCCGCCTCTCCAGTGGCCGGGAGCGCAGCCCTGGGCCGCCAGCGCCGTCCCCAGTGCTGCCGTGCCACACCTCGGAAGGAAAACCAGGCTCTCAGCGGCCTCCGCCTGCCTGCCTGCTCCTTTTGAGTCTATTTGCTTTTCTCGTGTTTGGTTTTGTTGATGATTTTTTTTGTTATCTCTAAGTAGTTGTACAAAGAAGTTCCCATGCTGCAAAACAGTACATTGTCCCCCACCGCTCCCCAACCACCCCTTCTCCCACTCTGCTTCTCTTTTTTAAATTGAGATCAGGGGATTACATATATTTCACATATTTAACAGTACCTGGCTGTCCCTTTTTAAAGTTCATGCAAATTCATCCACCAGTGGGACGCAGTTCACTGTTGCTAGAGAAGAGGGTGGAATCAAGGTTGAACCAATAACAGACTCCTGAAGATTCTCTTACTGTAGTGGAATTAGTGCTTACTGGCTGCTTGAGCTGGGGGGAACTGAACCGTGCTGACATCTCAACTTTCTGATTGTCTTGCTTTTGAATTAGGACTAGGCCGAGCCTATGCACTGGCTTTTGCAGAAAGAGGAGCCTCCGTTGTTGGTGAGTTGATGTGTTTTTGTTTTTTAATTAGTAGTTTCGGAAGCTATTGTCTTTCTAATAAGTCAGAGGTTGAAATTTACTTAAGGTTGAAGTTACTGTTTAGAATATGGTAGTTTCACAGAATTTCTCACGGCACTGATGATGAAGTGCAGTGCTGTATGGAGAGAACTTCTTGCTTTTGTGTTTGGTCATAAGGGTTTGAAATAGGAGACTTGCATGCTCATGTAAGGTCAAGAGAAATCCTGTGAATATGCCGGTAAAGGTAAAAAATGATTGAATTGTAGGACTGAGGTTTGGAATCAGGGAATCAAATATGGATTGTCAATCAAAAGTTTTTGATTGAAAGCACAAATGTAGCTGGGCGCTGGTGGCTCATGCCTGTGATCCTAGCTACTCAGAACACTGAGGAGCTTCATGGGCTGAAGCCAGCTCAGGATGACAAATCTGTGAGCTTCTTCGTCAGTTAACCAGCAAAGAGTTGGAAGTGGAGGTGTGTCTCAAATGATAGAACACTACCCTTGAGTGAAAAAGCTAAGGGCCAGAGCAGAGCCCAGCCCTGAGTTCAAGCCCCAGTATGGTCATGCGTGTATGCGCGCATGTGCACACACACACACACACAGCTGGTGACACGAGCTATTACTATGTTTTTATTTTTTTAAATGTTACTGTTTGGTTCTTAATACCTTCAATCTTGTAATTTTCAATTTTCAGATCCTTTCTAATAAGTTTTAAAGCAAAAGAATCTTGTTTTTTTTCTGGCTCCCAAAGGACTTAGAGTATTGTTTTATGCAAGGAAACTGTCTTTTGCTCATTCTTTTACTGTTGACATATTTCTTTTGGGGGCTGGGTCTGGTATATCTGAGATTATTTGAATAAATAATGCCTGTTTCATAGAGGTGCAGGGCAGCTAGGCGTGGCAGTGCCCTGTGGCCCTGGTCCTCAGGAGACTGAGGCAGCAGGTCAAGGCCAGCTGACATACATGGTGAGACCCCCATCTGGGTAAACAAACAATCCCCAAAATGTTACAGCAGCAATGTGTGTCTGCGGGTCCACTTTTCTTTTTCTGTTGCCTTTGCATTTGTTAAATTCACAGGAGCAGTGTTTGAGTGCAGGAAAACATAACATTCAGCCTGGGGCAAGGGGCGCACTCCTAATAAGGATTCTGATTGGAAGCCAGCCTGGACAGGTACAGCAGAGAAACTCTTGTCTCCATTTAACCAACCAAAAGCTGTTATTGGAGGCTGTGCTCACGTGGAAGAGTGTAGCCTTGAGCAGAAAAGCTGAGCAAGGGTGCAAAGTCCTGAGTTCAAGTCCAGTATTAGCACACACACACACACACACACACACACACAAAGAAAAAGGAAAGATAAAACTTGGATGATAATGTGCCTTATTGCAGTAAGTCCTGGCCAAAAGTCCAAGGAAACAGAAGTAAAATATTTGCTAAGTTTGGCTAAAGAGCTAGATTAGGTTTGGTGTTAAAGGTTGGGATTCAGTCTTTGTGAAACTGCAGAATTTATTTATTTGCCTTAGCTTCCCAAGTGCTGGGATTAAAGGCGTGAGGTACCATGCTTTGGTTAACACTGTTAACAGCAAACTTTGTGGAGGCACTGAATTAAAGAACTGGATGTACCTGCTCCCCAGTGTCCCTGAGTTTCTGTTCATGTAGGGGCAGACCATCTCTGAACTAGATAGCAGTGCGTCCTCGGCCAGTGTTGCACAGTGCTTTGCTTGTAGTCACCAGAGTGTGCCGCCTGAGTGTGTTATGCTCGCCCACCGGAGGAGGGAGGTGTCAGGAAAGCGTGCAGACTCCAGCTTGCTTGGGTGAGCCGTGTAAGCGTGTCCACATCCCCAGTGGGCTGGTCCCAGCTCACCGGACGAGCCCGTGGACTCGCTCTGAAACAGCTGCTCGCTGTCAGCCTGTTAAAAACCCAGTGTGAAGCTCAGTTAGTTAATAGACTCAGCATCAGTTGGGTTTGTTCATCTGAGCAATCAATAGCAAATGTGTTTTATATAGCAAGGTCTGTTCTGGGTGCTTGGAAATAATTGGGATCAGATTGGGTCCTTCTCTCTTTCTTTTTTTTTGGAGATGTCTTTCTGTCTATCCCAGGCTGGCCTTGAACCAGAGATTCTCCTGCCTCAGCCTCCCAAGTACCAGTACTGCCATGTCTTGTAGTCCAAGTAGTCTAGCAGCTTAGTAGTCAGTGTGTATGTTCTGGTAGGAGAGCAGTGGAGAAGCAGTAAGTAATAAATAATAAATGTAATAAATAACGGTGGGCGCTACAGAGGGAGACATTGGGGTGATGGGGCAGAGTGTACTTGACTGCTGAGTAGAGACCATCAGAGAGTGGAGGAGTGTGTGTGTGTGTGTGTGTGTGTGTGTGCACAGCTCCCGAGGGTGTGTGTGTGTGCACAGCTCCCGAGGGTGTGTGTGTGTGTGTGCACAGCTCCCGAGGGTGTGTGTGCGTGTGTGTGTGCACAGCTCCCGAGGGTGTGTGTGTGTGCACAGCTCCCGAGGGTGTGTGTGTGCACAGCTCCCGAGGGTGTGTGTGTGCACAGCTCCCGAGGGGGTGTGTGTGCACAGCTCCCGAGGGGGTGTGTGTGTGTGTGCACAGCTCCCGAGGGTGTGTGTGTGTGTGTGCACAGCTCCTGAGGGTGTGTGTGTGCACAGCTCCCGAGGGTGTGTGTGTGTGTGTGCACAGCTCCCGAGGGTGTGTGTGTGTGTGCACAGCTCCCGAGGGTGTGTGTGTGCACAGCTCCCGAGGGTGTGTGTGTGCACAGCTCCCGAGGGTGTGTGTGTGCACAGCTCCCGAGGGGGTGTGTGTGTGCACAGCTCCCGAGGGGGTGTGTGTGTGTGTGCACAGCTCCTGAGGGTGTGTGTGTGCACAGCTCCCGAGGGTGTGTGTGCGCGCGCACACAGCTCCCAAGTGTGCGTGTGTGTGTATTTGCGTATATGTGCATGCGCCCAGCTCCCGAGGGGGCCGCTGCCTTGGGGCAGTGGCAGCTGGTGTGACTAGTGTGACTGGTCTGGCTGCTAGCACTGGGACCAGGACGGGGAGGGGTGGGAGGTTGAGGCCGTGGCCTGTCACCTGCTGTGTGTGGGCAGCTCTCGGAGGATGGAGGCAGCATGACCTGACTAAACATTTGGTGGAGTATTCCGGTTGCTTTAGGGAATAAGGAGTGGAAATGTGGATGAGGGTTGGGCACCCTTTGGCTTATTACATTATTACATTACTGGTTCACTTTGTGCATTGCATAACTTTTTATTAAAAAGGAGCAGAAGCAAAGAGGCCCTCAGAGGTTATTGCAGCATCCCGGCATGGCTGGGCGTGGTTTGTGTGTCCTACAAGGCTTCAGGTGTGTGTGCAGCAAGCGTGTGGAAACCTACTCTGATCTGGAGCCTCCTGTGAGATGGTCAGAACAGGCCTCCTCGGGAGAGTGAGGGCAGTGGGGAGCGTCCAGAAAGACACACGCGCTCTGCCATCCGTGTGTGGCCTCCTCGGGAGAGCGAGGGCAGTGGAGAGCGTCCAGAAAGACACACACACTCTGCCATCCGTGTGTGGCCTCCTGCCATGCTGGCAAAGGAGACGCTGTGTCTCAATCTTGCGCCATTATTAAAACAAATCATGGTGAAGATGCTGTACAGGGGTCACAGCACAGGAGTCGGGTAACGAGTGCATTTCCTGTCTCCCACTATCCCTCCCCTCCCCCACCTTCCTCCTTCCTCCCCCCCCCCAGTTGCAAAGATGGTTTCCAACACAGTGTCCTGTGGTGTGTCATTGTTGCAATGGGTCATCCTGTGTCCTTGTTTCAATGTTTTGTTATTCCCCTTCCCCCCCCCCCAAATTAGAAAAATGTATAGACAAGATGCAGGGCACCAGAATCAAGTACAGAAACAACAGGGGATCTACCATAGTGGGAAGAGCATACAAAAGGAACTAAAGAAATCACTTAGAACATTAAAAACAACAAAGAAAAACCTCGCGTCTCTGTCTTGAGGTTCATTTTGCTTAGCATCATCTTACATGGTCATAGGTACATAGCTTTTGAGCTTTTCTGCTCATCTGATAAGATTATTCTAGACATATACTAGTTATTGCAAATAAGGGGAACCACGGACCTATGTTTCTTTTTTTTTTATTGTAAAGATACTATACAGAGGGTCACAGTTACATGAGTGAGGTAATGAGTACACTTCCTCTTGAATATTGTTACCCCCTCCATTGTTTTCCCCCTATCATCCCCTCCCTCCCTCCCTTCCCCGAGGTTCTTTTTTTTTTTTATTGTGATTAAGTGATTACATAATTTCCAGAATTTCACAGTATTGTGGAATAATGATGCTCATTTAAAGTCACAAGTTCATTCTAACTTTCCTGGAGCAAATTGTCTATCACAGTCTGTAACATATAACGGTGTTCACATGTTATACACCGTACATGTGATCAGCAGCATGGGGATATTTAGTAGTGGTTCAACCAGATGAGCAGGAGTTCTTCGTTTCTTAAGTCTGTTAGTTTTGTCGTATCACCTAACATTTTGGATTTAGCATCCACTTATCAGGGAGACCATGTACCGTTTGTCTCTTGGCTCTTGGCTTACCTCGCTCAGCATGATTCCTTCTAGCTGCATCCGTTTCCCTGCAAATGCCATTATTTTGTCATTTCTGATGGCTGCATAATATTCCATTGTGTATAGATACCACAATTTTTGGATCCATTCATCTGAGGTGGGGCATCTGGGTTGTTTCCATATCCTAGCTATTGTGAACAGTGCTGCAATAAACATGGAGGTGCACGTGTCCTTGTATATTGGTTCCTGTTGTTCAGGGTAGATGCCTGGAAGTGGTATGACTGGTTCGTAAGGGAGGTCAATCTTTAGCTTTCTAAGGACCCTCCAGACTGCTTTCCAAAGTGGTTGTATAAGTGTACATTCCCACCAGCAGTGTAATAGGGTTCCTCTTTCTCCACATCCCCTCCAGCATTTGTCGTTGGCTGATTTGTGGATGTGGGACATTCTGACTGGGGTGAGGTGGTATCTTAGGGTTGTCTTTATTTGCATTTCCTTCACCACCAGGGATGATGAACATTTCCTCATGTGTTTCTTTGCCATTTTTATTTCTTCATTTGAGAAGTCCCTCTTTAGTTCCCTTGCCCATTTAGTAATTGGTTTGGTAGGTTTGGGAGGGATTAGTTTCTTGAGTTCCCTGTATATACAGGATGTTAACCCCTTGTCTGATATATTGCTGGTAAATATTTTTTCCCAATTAGTTGGTTGTCTTTCTAGCTTGGTTGCGCTAGCTTTAGCTGTGCAGAAGCTTTTTATTAGTCCCATTTGTCGAGTCTCTCTCCAACTTGTTGTGACCCTGGGACTCTGTTCAGGAAGTTCCTTCCTGTGCCTATTAGTTCAAATGTCTCTCCTACTCTGTCCTGCAGTAGTTTCAGAGACTCAGGTTTAATGTTAAGGTCTTTAATCCATTTTGAGTTGATGTTGGTGTATGGTGATAGGCTGGGGTCCACTTTTAGTTTTCTGCATGTGGCTGCCCAGTTTTCCCAGCACCAGCGGTTGAAGAGGCTGTGTTTCTTCCATTGTATGTCTTTGGCTCCTTTGTCGAATATCAGCTGGCTGTAGGCCTGTGGATTTATTTCTGGATCTTCTATTCTGTTCCATTGATCCTCGGGTCTGTTTTTGTGTCAGTACCATGCTGTCTTTGTTATTAGAGCTCTGTAGTAGAGTTTGAAGTTCGGCATGGATAGCCCTCCCATATTGTCTTTATTCCCTAGAATTGTTTTGGCTATTCTAGGTCTTTTGTTGTTCCATATGAAATTTTGGACTGTTTTCTGTATTTCAGTGATGTATGTCATTGGGATTTTAATAGGCATTGCATTGAATTTGTATATTAGTTTTGGAAGTATTACCATCTTTACTATATTAAGTCGGCCTATCCAGGAGCATAGGAGGTCTTTCCATTTCCTAGTGTCTTCTGCAATTTCTTTCTTTAACTTTTTATAGTTTTCATTAAATAGTTCTTTTACATCTTTGTTTAGGTTAATTCCTAAATATTTTATTTTTTGGGAGGTTATTGTGAATGGGGTTGCTCCCTTTATTTCCCTCTCTTCCTGTACATTATCAGCAATTTCTTTTTCTTTTTTTTTTTTTGGTCCGGTCGTGGGGCCTGAACTCTGGGTCTGGGCGCTGTCCCTTAGCTCTTCAGCTCAAGGTTAGCGCTCTACCACTTGAGCCACAGCGCCACTTCCAGCTTTTTTCTTTTTGCTTATGTGGTGCTGAGGAATCGAACCCAGGGCCTCATGCATGCAAGGCAAGTGCTCTACCACTGAGCCACCTTCCCAGCCCTCGGCAATGGGCTGTATGTAAGCCTACAACTGAGGTGGTAGTGGTTTGGACAAGGTGATAGAGATGGGTGAGTGTAGAGAGGTCAAATTGTGGATGTATTTTGAAGATAGACATGGGGAGACCTGTTGATACTTTGTATGTGGGTTGTAAGGAAAAGAAAAATAAAGGAGAATCCAAGAGTTTTGTGTGAGTGCCATTTCATAAGGTAGGAAGGCGTGAAGAAGGAACAGAGGGGCAGAGAATAGACTTTCAGCTAGAGACATTAAGTAGGCATAAGATACAGACCTGAGAACGGGGAGGGAGGTTGTCTGTCTGTCTTTTATCTCCTGTCTCCCCTTCTCCACTTCTGCTCCGCATCCTTGACAGTCCAGTCACCCACCACCAGAGCAGCACATTCAGTACATTTTAGACTTTGTTTTAATAAAATTATTAGTGCTCTGTTTAGTAGTTGAAAAATCATGCTCTTTTTTTATTTTTCATCATTACTGTAAACACCATTTTTTGTTTCTTGCACTGGGGCTTGAACTCTGGGCCTGGGCACTCTTCCTGAGCTGCTTTTGCTCAAGGCTAGCACTCTGCCACTTAGCACCAGTTGCAGCTTTTGCTGTGATTTAATTGGAGATAAGAGTCTTACAGACTTTCCTGCTTGGGCTGGCTTTGAACTGCAGTCCTTAGATCTCAGCCTTCTGAGTAGCGATAACAGGCGTGAGCCACTGGTGTCTGGCTCAGATTTTGTTGATGCAGCTAGCAAGGATGTTTAAAGTGAGATCTGTCCTCTAAACAAAAGCTTAGAACACAGTAGTGTTAGATGCTTGGTATATGTAATGGATCTACAACTTACTCTTAAGTGATTGGAACTTACAACCATTACTGTCATTTCAAATCTCTCTCTAGTTTCTGGCAAGCACATTCTGTTGTTTTTTGTTTTGGCCAGTCCTGGGGCTTGAACTCAGGGCCTGGGCACTGTCCCTGAGCTTCTTTTGCTCAAGTCCAGTGCTCTACCACTTAAGCCACAGTGTCAGTGGCTTTTTCTGTGTTTGTGGTATTGAGGAATCGAACCAAGAGCTTCATGCATGCTAGGCAAGCTCTCTACCACTAAAGCACATCCCCAGCCCCACAGTCTGTTTTGAATCTGAGTTTGACTATTTCAGATACTCTGCAGGATGAAATTCTGCAGCCTTTCTCTTTTGTGACTATTTTGTTTCACTCAGCAGGTTGTGTGTGTGTGTGTGTGTGTGTGTGTGTGTGTGTGTGTGTGTGTACACACCAGTACTGAGGCTTGAACTCGGAACTTCAAGCTCTCCCTTGGCTTTTGCATTCAAAACTGTTGCTGTACCACTGCAGCCAAACCTCTACTGGCTTTTTGCTAGTTAGAGATGAGAGTCTTAGGGACTTTTCTGTCCAGGCTGCTTAGATCTCAGCCTCCTGAGCAGCTAGGATTGCAGTGTCTCCACCAGTGGCCAGCACCTTCCAGGTTATCTTTACTCATTTTTTCTTCCGGTGATGGACATTTAGTCTATTTCTGCATTGTAAATGCTGTATGTGGTGAATAGGCTCTGCAGGGAGTGCGAAACCCATGCGTCTGTACAACTGATATGAATTGCGAACTAATTTTTGTTTTTTTGGGGTAAGCATCTGAAGTCCGGTTGCTGGATCGAAGTTTCAGTTTGTAATTCGCATCAGTTGTACAGCTGCATGGGTTTCGGGGTGCTGTTCCCACCCGTGCGCACCATGTGTAGTCACATCCAGCCTTAGGGTTTGCACCCCGGCCACGCTCTCTCTCCAGGAATCACTATTCTGTCTTCAGGTTCTGCGTTTAGTCCCTAGCACAAGAAATGTCTCTGTTTTCTTGCTTTGTGTCTTTTTATTAAAAGGTTTTCAATTTTTTTTTCTTTCTCAAAAAGTGCCTTGGTCATGTCTTTTTCTTCCAACGGAGGAAAAGTGTTGCAAGGTTAAAATTCTCTCCAGGACCCTGCGTTTAAATATTTCTGTTATTTATACAGGGTTCAAAAATGAAGAGGTGTATTGTCTGAATACATGTGTGATCTAAAAGGTGGGGACAGGAGCAGAGGGAATTGGGCAGAGGATTGAAGAAATATACTACTAAATATTAATTTTTAACAAATTTGGAATGTCTAGAGATACATTGTTGTTTGTTTTCCCTTTGCAGTGAATGACTTAGGAGGTGATTTCAAGGGAGTTGGTAAAGGCTCCTTGGCTGCAGACAAGGTTGTTGAAGAGATACGAAGGAAGGGTGGAAAGGCCGTGCCCAACTATGGTATGCTATCTAAGAGTGTTTGCAGTGCCGTTCTCATCAGTAAGCAGTTACAGATATGGCTCTTTTCTAAAAGTCTGGTTATTTACGCTTGTTCTCCACTAGGCAGCGTTTGTTTTTGCTTTTGTTTTGTTTTTGTTGGGCCTGGGCGCTGTCCCTCAGCTCTTCAGCTCAAGGCTAGCGCTCTACCACCTAAGCCACAGTACCACTTCTGTTTTTCTGGTGGTTTATTGGGGGTAAGTCTCATGGACTTTCTTGCCCGGGCTGGCTTTGAACTGTGATCCTCAGATCTCAGCCTTCTGAGTAGCTAGGATGCCCGGCTTGCAGTTGTCGTTGTTTTTTTTTTTTTGGTTTCAACCAAAGACAGGCAGTGAGTACAATTCTTCTTGGACACTGTCAGCCCTTCCTTCACTTTTCCCATTTTTCCCCGGTGTCCCTGTCCACAGGTTGCATAGTTTATTTTCCACGTAGTGCATACTAAACACCATGACCGCATGTGTACTTCTTCCTGCCTTCGTTTCCTGACCCCCACTTGTCCTTCCTAGCCTGTGCTCGGACTGAGAGCCTAGAACTGATTTGTGAGGAACAGTAACGCGCGTGTGACACCGATCTTTTCCCTGCAGACTCGGTGGAAGCTGGAGAGAAGATTGTGAAGACGGCCCTGGATGCATTTGGGAGAATAGGTGAGGGTGGGTCTCATTGGGCGGCCCATCACCTGCCACCTTAGGAACGCACCAGTTTACATTTGTTCACTAAGCATAGCACTCTTTCTTGATCATCACAGTGTGGATTTGTTTTATAGTTTTATTTATCCTACCTTATTTCCATAAAGAACTTGAGGTGACAGTGTTACAGTTACATGTGTATAACATGCTGAACTTGTTCGTTGGCTTTTAAAAATCGTGTTTGCTATGTTTCCTCCCTTATTTCTTATTATTAGAAAAAAAAAAAAACACCTTTTGGTGATGGTTCTGCGGGTTGAACTCAGGGGCTAGGCACTGTCCTTGAGCTTTTGTATTCAAAGCTAGCATTCTACCACTTGTGCCACAGCACCACTTCCAGCTTTTTGGTAGTTCATTGGAGATAAGAGTCTCATGGACTTGAACTGAGATCTGAGGATCTCAGCCTCCTGAGTAGCTAGGATTACAGGATTAAGCCACTGGTACCATGATATATTCTGTACCTGTTATACTTACTTTTCATGGTGGACAAAAAGCTAGTTTCTGAAGGGAATATGAGTTGTAATTAACGTGCTTATGTGACTTGGGTCTTTTTATATTGTAGATGTTGTGGTCAACAATGCAGGGTGAGTATTCTTTTTTCACTTACAGTGTCCTGCATGCAGCTCTTTGTAAGTGTGTATCTCCCTCCTTACTGTGTATGATGTCAATGTTTTAGGATTCTGAGGGACCGCTCCTTCTCCAGGATCAGTGATGAGGACTGGGGTAAGTTGTTTAATGTCTCTGTGAGCATAGCTATCTGCTCTTCTTTTTAGTATTTAAATTATTTTTGTATTAAAGAAAAACCTGCTTCTTTCTGCTTTGACTGCTAAGATACATGTTGATGAGCTCTGCATTGGAAATGATGTGTACTTGGACATACCTATTTCTCTAAACATTTAATAAATTTAAAAAATGTTAAATTACTTGGCAGAAATTATGTAAAAGAACTTTTTTTTTTTCGTTTCTTTCAGTTTTTCTGCTTGGGGCTGCCACCATTTTCTAGCAGTATTCTTTGAAGTAGTCGTCAAAATGCTTACCTGGCTGTGTGATTCTTTTTTCAAGAGTAGAATAGGATGTGGAAGAGACTAAGCAACTTACAATTAAAAACAGCGGAGGTCTGGGGCAAAGTAGGGCAAGATCTAAATGTGAATGTGCCGCCTCTGGGAAAAGGAAACATTTCCATTTCCCTTACCCTGAAGGAAAGCACTGAGTCTGCACAGCAGTGGCTGTGGTTTATTCTTTGGCCATCTTTGTTGTTACTTTCATTGGCCATCAGAACCCAAACAGACCAGTGGCCGAGACCGTGGCTGGCTGTGCTGTGGGTGGTGCTGAGGCCGTCCCCAGAAGTCGTCCTGTGTGTGAGGAGTTAGCCAACAAGAGCTTTTTGTTTCTTCCTCCCTTTGCTCTACCTGGGTTGGAAAGATGCTGGAAGGATAAGGCTTGCTGACAGGAGCTTGGGTTAGGAGCGGTGGCGTGGCCGTGGCCTGGCCGCAGGGCCCCCTTCTCTGTTCCCCTCCTGTCTCTTCCGCTCCCACCTGTGTCTCGAGTCCCCTTTTACGCATCTTCTGACAACCACAGTTCAGGAATTGACAGGAAGATATTGTAAAATACAGTCTTGGTGATGAGCTGTGTGGTTTACTATTGTGTTTTAATTGTTAGCATTGAGGGTTGGTGTATATATGTAAAGCTCTTGGTTTATATTAACACACTTTTACATAAAGTATGTATATATTGTAATTCAACGTGTGCAGGGTTGATGATAGTCTCACCAAGTATAGGATGGAGTCTTTGAGGTGCGAGTACGGACTACTGACTGTAACAAGGCAGTTACTCAGAGGGGTGAGCAGGTGTTTGAATGCTGGGTATAATATGAACAATAAATAAAGTGGATAAGTAAAGCATTTGTTACGTTGATTGGAAGATATGCTTTTTTTTGGGGGGTGGGCCTAGGCACTGTCCCTCAGCTCTTCAGCTCAAGGGGAGCCCTCTACCACTTGGACCACAGCCCTACTCCCAGTTTTCTGGTGGTTCAGTGGAGATCAGAGTCTCATGGACTTTCCTGCCCAGGCTGGCTTTGAACCGTGATCCTCAGATCTCAGCCTCCTGAGTAGCTAGGATGACAGGCGTGAGCCACCGGCGCCCAGCAGATATGCCCAATTTTTGCATATATGTAATAAAATGAATTTCTTATTTCAGATATGATTCAGAGAGTTCATTTGCGGGGCTCTTTCCAGGTGACCCGGGCAGCATGGGAACACATGAAGAAGCAGAACTACGGAAGGTGGGAGGCCAGGTGTTCCGTGTGCTTGCTCTGTGCAGTGCTAGGAGCGAATGCTTGGTGTGTTCCGTGTGCTCTGTGCAGTGCTAGGAGCGAATGCTTGGTGTGTTCCGTGTGCTCGCTCTGTGCAGTGCTAGGAGTGAATGCTTGGTGTGTTTCGTGTGCTCGCTCTGTGCAGTGCTAGGAGCGAATGCTTGGTGTGTTCCGTGTGCTCGCTCTGTGCAGTGCTAGGAGCGAATGCTTGGTGTGTTCCGTGTGCTCTGTGCAGTGTAGGAGTGAATGCTTGGTGTGTTCCGTGTGCTCTATGCACAGTGCTAGGAGCGAATGCTTGGTGTGTTCCGTGTGCTCGCTCTGTGCAGTGCTAGGAGTGAATGCTTGGTGTGTTCCGTGTGCTCTGTGCAGTGCTAGGCGCGAGTGCTTGGTGTGTTCCGTGTGCTCGCTCTGTGCAGTGCTAGGCGCGAGTGCTTGGTGTGTTCTGTGTGCTCTGTGCAGTGCTAGGAGCGAATGCTTGGTGTGTTCCGTTTGCTCTGTGCAGTGCTAGGCGCGAGTGCTTGGTGTGTTCCGTGTGCTCTGTGCACAGTGCTAGGAGCGAATGCTTGTTGTTGGGACGCCCCTTAGCTGTGTGTAGGCCTCGCACACCCTTACTCTGCGTGTATGCGTGATGAGCCACGCCCCACCCTCAGTCATATTTTTCACAGACTGAGGCCAGTAATTGCATTCTTAGTCTTTTCTAATAACGATAAAATAATCTAATAATGATAAGAACTGTAATGTGTGTGAAATAAGATACATATTAATTATAGAAAGTAATGTGTTTTTAGAGTAGTTTTTGCTTTATGGAAAAATTGGGAAGAGGGGCTGGGAAGGTGGCTCAGCAGAGCGCTTGCCTTACATGCATGAGACCCTGGGTTCGATTCCTCAGCACCACATAAGCAGAAAGAAAAAAGCTGGAAGTGGTGCTGTGGCTCAAGTGGTAGAGCACTAGCCTTGAGCTGAAGAGCTGAGGGACAGCGCCCAGGCCCAGAGTTCAGGCCCCACGACCGGACGCCTCCCCCCACCCAAAAAAAAAAAAAAATTGGGAAGACAGATTTCATGGAATTCTCTTACCCGCTGTTTTTGTTAAACCACCGTGTGTGTGTTACACTTGGTGAACCAGTATTGATGGTTACTGAGATGTGTGTGAGATGCATTGCTTTAGTGAGATGGTCAGTGTAACCAGAACGGGCAGTAGCACGGTGAGGAGCACAGGAAGTAGAACAGCTTGATCTGATACTTCGTGCTGAAAGTTTAACTTAGGTGTTGCTTGTTTATGTTCCTTGTAGATACTGAATATGTGAAATTTAAATTCGTTCCGCTCTGGCGGGGATTCTTTTTACATAGAGGTTATTTCAGTCAGCCCTACTGTGGGTGTGGGAGTGCCGAGCGCTAGGACCGGGCCTCCAGTGGCTCTGACAAGTGGACGGAGCGTGGGCTTGTGCTGGTGATGCTCTCAGAGCACACGAAGGGGCTGCTGTGGTGTGTTTCTTTCAGGATCATTATGACTTCGTCAGCTTCAGGAATATATGGCAACTTTGGACAAGCAAATTACAGTGCCGCTAAGCTGGGCATCCTGGGCTTGGCAAATACGCTTGCGATTGAAGGCAAGAAGAGCAACATCCACTGTAACACCATTGCCCCTAACGCCGGGTCCCGCATGACTCAGACGGTCATGCCAGAAGGTAGGGAGCCGTGACTGCTTAGTGCTGCGGCCAATGTGTGCGCAGTGACCTGCAGAAGCATGTGGTGGTTCTGTTTTCAGTTTCAGAGCACTGAATGCAATTTGTGATTCTGTAAAAACCAAAAGCACAATGGAAATGCTGAAAAGTAATTAGACCACTGTAAACTTTTATTCTTTTTATCTGCATAGATACACACATGGTTTCCTCCCTCCTCCCTCCCTTCCTCCTTCCCTCCCTTCTTTCTTATTCTTTTTGCCTACCGGCTTTGAATTTAGGGTCTCAAACATGAAGAAGGCAGGTCTCACTTGAGCCATGCCCCAGCCTCAATCCATATTTTACATAGAATGAGGCAAGGTAATTGCATTCTTGGTCTTTTATAATAATTATAACATAATTGTGCATATAATTATAAACTATGTAATGTGTGTGAAATAATGTAAAAACCAAAAGCACAATGGAAATGCTGAAAAGTAATTAGACCACTGTAAACTTTTATTCTTTTTATCTGCATAGATACACACATGGTTTCCTCCCTCCTCCCTCCCTTCCTCCTTCCCTCCCTTCTTTCTTATTCTTTTTGCCTACCGGCTTTGAATTTAGGGTCTCAAACATGAAGAAGGCAGGTCTCACTTGAGCCATGCCCCAGCCTCAATCCATATTTTACATAGAATGAGGCAAGGTAATTGCATTCTTGGTCTTTTATAATAATTATAACATAATTGTGCATATAATTATAAACTATGTAATGTGTGTGAAATAAGATACATGTTAATTATAGAAAGTAATGTTTTTTAGAGTGGTTTTTGCTTTATGGAAAAATTGGGAAGAGTTTTCATGGACTTCTCTTACCCACTGTTTTTGTAAAAAGTGTGTGTGTGTTACAAATGGTGAACCAGTATTGATAGTTACTATTTTTCTTGTTGTTGTTGTTGTTCGTGGGGTCTGAACTCTGGGCCTGGGCATTGTCTCTCAGATCTTCAGCTCAAGGCGAGTGCTCTACCACATGAGCCACAGCGCCACTTCCGGCTTTTTCTGCTTATGTGGTGCTGAGGGGTCAAACCCAGGGCCTCATGCATGCAAGGCAAAGCACTGTACCACTGAGCCTCCTTCCCAGCCTCTGACAGTTACGATTAGCTGAGGTTAGTAGCGTGCACTGGGGTTCATTGGTCGTACAGCTGTCAGATCTTTCGTAAATGTTACCCAGCATTACTGCATTCATGCAGAGTACTTCACTGTCCTTTGAAGTGCCTGGACTTTCAGCTGCCTCTGGGGTGGAAGGTCATCCCTGCTTTCATTCAGCAATGATTGTGCTATGGTGCAGTTTATTCTCTTGTCTTCTGAGGGACATCTTGGTAGCTTCTGATTTTGGGCAGTTGGGAATTTAGCAGCTATAAATATGTGGTGTGTGTGTGCGCACGCACGCACGCACGCGAGCGCATGTGTTTCATTCAAGGCTGGCAATCTGCCAATTGAACCACTGCTCTGCTTCTGGCTTGTTGGTGGTTAGCTCAAGATGGGAATCTCATGGACTTTCCTGCCTGGGCTGGCTTCTACCCTTGAGCTCAGTTTCCTAAGAAGCTAGGAGTACAGGCGTGAGCCACAGGATGGTTTTTGTGTGGACATAAATTTCAGTTTGTTGGGTGCGTGCTGGTTGGTTATGGCAGAACAGTTACTGTTGGGTTACTTTTGGGTTATTTTGGGTTCTCGCCGCCAGAGACTGAGTGGTCTTTGTGCCATGCCCTCAGCGGTGGAAGTGGTCTTGGAGTTGGGGTTTCTCTGACAGGGCCCTTAGGTAACTGGTGGTGGCAATAACTCAGATGCTGGTCACTCTTCTCGACTTTGTTTTCTTTAGGGCGGTGTCTATTCAAATCTTTTGTCCATTTAAGAATGATACTCTATTTGGCCGGGCACCGGGGGCTCAGCCTGTCATCCTAGCCACTCAGGAGGCTGAGATCTGGGGATCGCCGTTCAAAGCCAGCCTGGGTAGGAAAGTCAGTGAGTTCAGCTTTCTGGACCTGTGATGGTTAATCCACCTGTGATGGTTAATCTTGTCTGCTTGGTTGGAGCAGAAGTGCTTGGAGTAATTTGTAAAGCAGCCTTCTGGGCACTTCTGTGAGAAGATTCCAGAGCTTAGCTCGTAAGAGCCAGGCTTGTTCCATGTTGTGATCATGGGATGGATGCAGATTCAGGGTGGGCTTAGGGGGCTGGGGGCCTGGGAGGAGGCGGGGCCGGGGTCTGATTGGCTCAGGGCTTGCCTCTGCCCTTCTGGCAGCTGCTGCTGGTTGGTCTTCAGCAGCTCCCTGTACCTGCTCTCACAGTTAACACACCTACCTGAAGACCCACCTCACAGTAACACACCGACCTGAAGATCCTTTGAGTTACTTTTCAGACAGTAAATTGCACAAACTTGTACAGTTTCTTATTTTAACCTTTCTTGCCTGTGTTTCAGATCTTGTTGAAGCCCTAAAGCCCGACTATGTGGCACCCCTGGTCCTCTGGCTTTGCCATGAGAGTTGTGACGAAAATGGTGGATTATTTGAGGTATTCTGAAATGTGTGATTAAGTGTGAAAAACCGATTTTAAATGAGTATTTTCCAAATGCCTGCGTTTCTAATACTCTGTCCCTTAGCATAACTTGTATGTATATATTGCTTTGCTTTTGAGATAGGGTTTCACTGTATAGCCTACCTGGCCTTGAACGCTCCTGACTCAGCCAGGCACGTGCCACAACACTGTCTAGTAGATTCTTAAGTACTAGTTTATTGAATCACCAAGTGGCAGATATCTTCTGTAATCCCAGCTCTTAGGAGATGAAGGCGGGAGGATCCTAAGTTTGAGGCCCGGCTGTTACATCACAAGACCCTGTCTCCAAAAAAAAAAAAAATCTGGGCACTGGAGGCTCACTCCTGTAATCCCAGCTATTCAGGAGGCTGAAATCTGAGGCTAGGCCAGGCAGGAAAGTCCATGAGACTCTTTAACCAGCAAAGGCTGGAAGCGAGGTGTGGCTCAAACGATAGAGCGCTACCCATGAGTGAAAAAGCTCAGGGACAGTGCCTGAGCCCTGAGTTCAAGATCCAGTATCGGTACCAAAAAGGATAAAAATAAATGAATGATTAAAAATGAAAGTAGGTAATGATGTGGATTAGTGTTTTTATTTGAGATAACAACAGCTTTGTAAATTACATTTTTCCTTAGTTGTCCAAACTTAATCTTCCCAAGTAAGAAAAGGTCTGATTTAATATGTTAAAAAAACCCAGAAAGTCTCATTGATTTAAGAAGCTGCCTGATAAAGCAGAAGCACAGAACTTGAGATTTAGAGTTAACTAGGTTAGACTTTGAATTCTTATTCTGGTAATTATTGACTTGCAGGAGTTTTACATGAGCTAACCTTTCTGAGTTTTAGTTTTCTTGGGGCTTGTGTAAGAGATGTTAATCACGCCAAACCCTGAGCGTAGAGCCTGGTACACAGCAGCCTCCCCAGGACAGCTCTGAGCATGGGACATGAGTTCTCGGTGTAGCAAGAATTCAGTCTGGGTGTGGCAGATCAGTAGTTACACTTACTATTTATGTTAGTGTTAACATTACTTTTTTTTTTGTCGGTCCTGGGGCCTGAACTCTGGGCCTGGGCGCTGTCCCTCAGCTCTTCAGCTCAAGGCTAGCGCTCTACCACTTGAGTCACAGTGCCACTTCCAGCTTTTTTCTTTTTGGTTATGTGGTGCTGAGGAATTGAACCCAGGGCCTCATGCATGTGAGACAAGCATTCTACCACTGAGCTACTTGCCCAACTCCAACATTGAACTTTTGAAAAAATAAACATTAGCTTTACCACTTTACAAAGCCTTAAGTTTTTGTTATAAAAACAAGATCCACCCATAGTCATACCATCCAGTGAAATCCATTGTTCACTGTACAAAGTCTTTTTACACTTTTATAGCCAATTTATGTATTTCTGCTTACTTGTGTTTGATCTTTTTGTTGTCACTTAATGTGTCATACTCCAGACGTTTTCTCCATTTCTGATCCTTTATCGTAAGGATAGACCTGTTACGTGCAGAAGTTCACGTCGTGCTGTCCCTGTGAAGTATGCGTATCCATACTTTGTTGTGTACATGTGCAAGTGTGGATTTAGGCGTCTCCGCAGCATTGCACAGCTGCTCTCAGAACTTGGCATAGGTGTCCTTGTCGCTCCTCCCTGCTGCGTTGTGCTGGCCTGGGTCTCTGCTCTGCGGTGTGGGCATGCAGAGCCGTGGGCCCAGCCCCTGCGCTGCTTCCCACCTGTTGTCTACATTCTCACAGTCCCAGAAGGACGGCTGTGGGGTTTTGAATTTTAATAATTCTGTTGATGACTTTTTAAAATGATACATTTTCTCTCCTCTTTCCACTAGGTTGGAGCAGGATGGATTGGAAAATGTAAGTCTCCATTGGGGTTTTGTTTTGCCATAGGTTATTCTTCTATCTTTAAACATGTACCTCCTTATTACTGGATAATGAGGGTCTTGTGGATGCCCAGTCACCAGATGCAGTGTATGTGCGCATGCATATACACATGCACACATGCACACATACATGCACGCACACACATGCACACACACACGCACACACACACATATGCACATAAACACACATGCACGCACACACACTCCTCACCCTTGAACAGTGGTAGAACAGCAGGTTTTCTAAAGCACGCCATTTCCTTTTCAGAGCCTATCTTCATCCTACAGGAAGTTTCTGACCAGTACCTGTTCTTATTCTTAACTGCCCCTCCTAGAGTCTCTCTCTATGTTATTACCTTCCAATGACTCTGGTGTCCCACATACCTATTTTTGCTGTTTCCCTGGAGAAGTGAGTAAGAGGAAGAGCTGTTTCTGAAAAGAAGCAAGGTCCTACCCTAGACAGCATAGCAGGCAAGGTGTCTACTTTGTAGCTCACGAGTCAGCAGGAGACATTAAGGCTGGGAGCGTGCTGGGTCAGAGAGGCAGGTGACGAGGAGATAGGCCCTCTCTCCAGGAGGTGTGCATTTAGCTCCAACACCATGGTGAGCGCCACAGTTGATAGCTGCTTTGAAGCAGTTAAAAGTTTATGTCAGCTTGTTTTCAGTTGGCTGCTGGTTATCAAAGTTAATCACACAAGCAGTTGTTTAAAAGTTGTTATCAAGCCAGGTGCTGGTGGCTCACGCCTGCCATCCTAGCTACTCAGGAGGCTGAGATCTGAGGATCACGGTTTAAAGCCAGCCCCGCAGTTCCGAGACTCTTATCTCCAATAAACCACTAGAAAACTGGAAGTGGTGCTGTGGCTCAAGCAGTAGAACGCTTGCCTTGAGCTGAAGAGCTGAAGGACAGCGTCTAAGCCCATAGAACCCCCCCCCCCAAAAAAAAAAACACAAAAAGTTGCTATCACTGGAGGATTCTGTATTTACTGTAGAGCATCAGTACTTTTAGGATTAATGACTGTTTCTTCGGTTGTTAAGGGACATGTATTCTTCTAGTGTTTACTCATCTAAGATAGGAATGTAGGGATTGTAATAAAAGCTATATCTGGTCCTATAGTAAGAAAGATGTAGAAGGAGGCATTATTGTCAAACTCCTGTCTGGCCATTAAGTTTAAAATAAGGTTACTAGAGATTACATAAAACAAAAAATTTTCCTAATGAAACTAAGAAGCAGTAGTGATTTTTTTGTGTGACTCTGTAGTATGGCCATCTTCTGAATGGGCAGACCAAAGGAAGGGGCAAGGGGCATTACCCTGCTACTCAGTGCACTACTGTCTTGTTGACAGAATTGTTCTCAGTTTGCTACTCATTAATCCTTGTCCTAGAAACCTTTACTCAGTGATCTCTGGTCATGAGGGGTCAGCCTTTTGGTGATTATTAAATTAACTCAACCTTTCAGAGTCCGCATCATGTTCTTCCTTAGTATCACCTAGCATAGCCAGAAGAGAAGATTTCCCTTTAGCTTCAAACATTTTTCTTGAAAAAACAAACACTTGGCTGGGTGCCAGTGGCTCACGCCTATAATCCTAGCTATTCAGGAGGCTGAGATCTGAGGATTACAGTTCAAAGCCAGCCTGGGCAGCAAAGTCTGTGAGATTCTTACCTCCAATTGACCATGATAAATCTGGAAGAGGCGCTGTGGCTCAAAGTTGTAGTGTTAACATGGAACAAAAAGTTTTAGGGACAGTGCCCCGGCCCAGGGATCAAGCCCCACAATGACAGGAAAAACAAAAAGAGTCTTCTAATAGCTTCTGTTTGCTTATTTTAGGAAAAATGTCTTTTAAAGTTTGTGGTAAACCCTTCTAGGTTGGAATCCTTTTCCTTTCCCTTGTGGCTCAACAGTTAATGGGCTCTTAGGCCTCTGGGTCCTGTGGTCTTCCTTCCCCCTCTTGACCCGCAGCTCTGTTTCTGTGATTAGTGCGCTGGGAGCGGACCCTTGGAGCCATTGTAAGGCAGAGGAACCAGCCCATGACCCCCGAGGCCGTGAGGACCCACTGGGAGAAGATCTGCGACTTCCGAGAGGCCAGCAAGCCTCAGAGTGTCCAAGGTGCCAGCTGCGGGGACCCCCCCCCTGCCCCCACTCCCCCATCTTAGCTGGGGTGACTTAGAGCCTCCTCATCTGCAGTGTCTTCTGCTCAAGTAAATTTTAGAATTTCCTGTACTCGGCACTGCCAGCGTTTCAGTTTGTGTTTTGGGCTGTGTGACTTGGGGTGTGGTACTCGGTGTTTGTTCCTTGGGGCTAAATGAAGATGTTCTCCAGCTGATGTAAGGTGAGCTCCTCTGAGGCAGGCTCCCTTCCGAGTATTGTTTGTTTCTTTCCCGGGGATGGAACCCTCTGTCTCCGTGTCCCAGCCTGTGTAGTTCTTGTGTGTTTGGTGTCTGCATGGTGTGGAAAGACATACCTGCAGGAGTAGGTACCAAATACAGTTCATAGTAGATTGTTCTAGTATCGCTTAGTTTGCAAACTGTTTTGAGAAAGACCAGGAGTCAGGGTCATTTTATACAAAGACTTCTTAGTAATTTTGCACTTAAAACACTGTAGAGGCCCGGCATTGGTGGCTTACAGAGTAAAGATACAGCTAATATTTGAAGCATAGTTTTAAAAAAAATCCTGTTTTCTGTAGTTTTGACTTTCCAGTGTTTTCATTTTACCAATGATGGAACTAAATCCCAGAAAATCAAAACTAGCCAGCTGTGTGTCCCTGAGTTTAAGCGATTGGCTTGTCAGAGGTGCTGTCTTTTGGGGTGGGCTGTGCACAGGAGACCTGTCACTGTTGCTTTCTGGAGGGACGGTGTCTGGTCATCTCCTACTCATGACTGGTCAGTCTTTGTTGTGGTCAGGAGTGAGTTCCAGAGCCTCCAGAGTAGCTAATAACCTGTGTAGAATCTACAAGCCTCCTTTTAGACTGCAGAACAATAGCTTCCAAAGTTACTGGACATTGTTACTAGTTTCCTTTCTGTCTGTGGAATAATTCTGGTATTGTCCTCGCAACTAGTACCTCTTCCTGGGATGGGGTGATGCTGGCTAGGGAAGGGAGAGCAGCGGCCTCTCAACCAGACACAGGTTGCATATTCATACAAAAGTGTAAAGCGGTGTATAGCGTGTGGAGGTGTGAAATAGTTCAGGGCTGGGCGCTGGTGGCTCACGCCTGTCATCCTAGCTACTCAGGAGGCTGAGATCTGAGGATCATGGTTCAAAGCCAGCCTGGACAGGAAAGTCCGTGAGACTCTGATCTCCCATGAACCACCAGGAAACCGGAAGTGGCGCTGTGGTTCAAGTGGTAGAACACTCACCTTGAGCTGAAGAGCTGAGGGACAGCACCCAGGCACAGAGCTCAAGACCCACGACCGACCAAAAAAAAAAAAATCTCAGAGGTCTTGAAAAGCTGAGTCCCTTTGGAACCAGATTTTTGGGGAAGAGTGTTAGATGGTCTCTCATTTTCCATCCAAGAGATCTAGTTGTTTTTTATCTGCTCCAAGGTATTTCACACTCAGTTCAGGAGCCATGTTGAACATGTATAGCAGCTGTTATGTAGCATTTGGTAGCTTCCTTGAGTCGCCTTTTAAACAAAGCTTTTTTTCCTTTCCCTGAACTGTAGAATCAACAAGCGGCATTATTGAAGTTTTACATAGAGTAGACTCAGGAGGAGGAATTTCAACAAACCATACCAGTCATTCAGCACCGTCCACAGCCTCGTCTGGAATTGTAAGTGTGGAGAAGCAGAATGCTTTTGTCTTTTCTGGAAACCTGGCCTCCCTCCTGTCCCCCCTCCTGTCTTTCCTTCTGGATACGATCACTCTTTCATTCCCTGATTTGTCTATGAAGGGATTTAGTAGTGTTTATTCAGAAACCAGTTGTGACTAACTTTAGGGTGATGTGCAGGGATGTATGACCGTGGAGGCATTGAGGAGGTGACTTGAGTGAGTTCTGAAGACAGCCAAGACAGCTTTAGTCTTGATCTTAGATTTCTCTCGACTCTGCTAGGCTCTCCTTAGCCTGATGAAGGGCTATCTGGAGAAGGGATGAGGACCGTTGGGTGGGTTCTGAGGTTCCTCCTGGTGTCTGAGTAGGTGTAAGAAAATGGAAGGTGTCTGCCTTTGGTTTTCTGGGTGAGTAGAAGGAGGTGCTTGTCAGCCTTTCTGTACTTTTCCGGGGGACACTCTACCTGATAGACAGGCTTTCTTTGGGGAATAATGGATCCAGTTGGTGACTTTAGCTTCCACCTCACCTCCCCAGGAGTGTGTGGATATCAATTCAGGGAGAGAAGAGGTCACCACGCTGTTCAAGGCAGAGCTGTTACCTGTTCTTGGTCTCTATGCATGCTTCTGTGTCCTGTCCTGATGTGTTATTCTGTCTATAAATACCTCTGTGCCTCTTCAAGGCTGCCTTTGACCTGACGGAGCAGAGGTGACCTCTGTGGACGTGGGGCGGGCCCTGCAGGAAGACCTACTTCTACTACTGTGATGGTGATCATTTTCTCTACCTAGCTTTACCTCCTTTTCCTCTTCACCCACTTCAGCCCTTGTCTATTTTTACTCCTTCACTGACATTTTCGTGTCAGTAAAAACTTAGAAATGCAAGCATTTGAAAACACTTTCTTGAGCACACTGTATATTCTGAATATAGCATGAGTGACTCTTTTCTTCAGCATGGTTGACCACTGTCTGTGATCATTATTGACAATCCTCTTTCCATCACTGTTTTTCTAACTTTTTAGAAAAGGACTTTGATTTTAGAGATTCTTATTCTCTTTTATTTGACTTCCGTCAGTGCACAGCTTCAGCTTACTGTGTTTTAGAAACTCCCAACATGGCTGCAAAGAAGAAGCTTCTAGTGTGTCAGAAATACTAATAGAATTATAGTTCCATATGTGAAATTGGTTGGTTTACTGTTTCCTACTTGTGTCTGATGAGAAATACACAAAAATACCAAGACCTGTCATTTGCTAAATTAGATTCTGGTGTTTTGTGACCCCAGGGAGTCATAGAGAGAAAGAAAATTGGGAATCTAAGGTTGTTGTTTTTTTAATAGTCCTGGGGCTTGAACTCAGGGTCTGGGCTCTGTCTCTGAGCTCAAGGCTAGCGCTCTACCACTTGAGCCACAGCACCACTTCTGATTTCTGTTTATGTGATACTGAGAAATCAAACCCAGGGCTTCAAGCATGCTAGGCAAGCATTGTACCACTGAGCCACCTTCCCAGCCCGGGAATCAAATGTTTAATCTCAGTTTGATTGGGAGTTTACTCTGTAATCGGGCCAGTGACTGTTTGGTGATGTCACGTAGCAGACACTTTTGGGGCTATCACTGTGTTGTCATCCTGCTGGTTCTCCTTTGGTGCTGGGAAGTGAACCTGTAATTGCTAAGCACAAACTCATGCTCTGCTACTGTTTCTCTTTCTGTAACCGTCTTTCAAAAATGTAAAGTGCTTTACTAGCTTCTGTCCCTTCTTTTCTGACCTTGGCTTTGTGATAAAAGTGATTAAAACCTTGGAAACTCTTGAAACCTAGGATGGGCTTTATACAGTAAGTAGAGCATATCATGACTCAGTTGAAAGAAATGTATTATCCAGTTGCAGATGGCCGTTCCTAAAGGAGGTTCAGGTCAGGAGAGTCTAGTTGACAAGTGTTTGAGGAGCAGAGGTTTGCTAATCTTTTGGTGGTGAGTTTTATATCGCAATGCACGGTTCCTAAAGGTTCACTACATTTTGAATTTGGGGGTGCTAATAGTTGCTGAGTTAACAGGACTTTCCATCATCTAAGGTAGAAAAGCTGAAAAAAACAAACTGTAGCAAGAAGCAAGCAAAGAGTATTTGTTATTGAAAACTATTCTAGACGCCTGTTTAAAAAACCACCAAAAAATTATGTTCCATCACTGATGTTCTAGTCACATCTTTAAAAAAAAAAAACAAACCACAATTTTACTGTTGCTATTAAGGGGTTGGACAGAGGGGTTACCACATCGTAAGACAGAGTCCCCCCCCCCTTCCTCCCTCTCCAGAGGGGTTACCACATCGTAAGACAGGCCATGAGTTCCCCCCCTTCCTCCCTCTCCAGAGGGGTTACCACATCGTAAGACAGAGTCCCCCCCCTTCCTCCCTCTCCAGAGGGGTTACCACATCGTAAGACAGGCAATGAGTTCCCCCCCTTCCTCCCTCTCCAGAGGGGTTACCACATCATAAGACAGGCAATGAGCCCCCCCCCCCTTCCTCCCTCTCCAGAGGGGTTACCACATCGTAAGACAGGCAATGAGTCCCCCCCCCTTCCTCCCTCTCCAGAGGGGTTACCACATCGTAAGACAGGCAATGAGTTCCCCCCCCCTTCCTCCCTCTCCAGAGGGGTTACCACATCGTAAGACAGAGTCCCCCCCCTTCCTCCCTCTCCAGAGGGGTTACCACATCATAAGACAGGCAATGAGTCCCTACCCCCCCCCCCCCCCCACACACACACCCTTTTGGACACGGTCACCTCTTCCTTTGCTTTTCTCTGGCTCTCCCCTCCCACCCCTGCCCACATCTAGGCACAGCTATGTAAACAGTTAATATTCTGACAACAATATCAATGAGAAAATCATGTCTTACAACTTGTTACAGGACAGCGCTATTGGCTATAAACTCCCTTCTTTTTCCACCGCGTACACCCAACTGGACACTATCATGTATGCCCTTGGCGTGGGGGCGTCAGTCAGAGACCCGGAGGATCTGAAGTTTGTTTACGAGGGGAGCTCCGACTTCTCCTGTCTGCCCACCTTTGGTGTTATTGTTGCTCAGAAGTCTTTGATGGATGGAGCGCTGGCCGAGGTGCCTGGGCTTTCAATCAACCTTATGAAGGTATGCCTAATACAGAACTTCTACTTGACCTTGCTTCTGCTTCTCTACATGCTGATAGATGTGTATATGTTGTGGATAGGTTCATCTACATGTGTACAATTTTAATGTAGTTTGCAGTGGTTGGTTCTAGAATAGAGAGTAAGCACATCATCTGATTTTTTAATTTTAAGAATAACAGTGGGAGTTAAAGTGCTAGCCCAAATCCGGTAGTTCTGTGCAGTTCCACAAGCCAGACAAAACGCTGTTGATCCTTTCTCTGCCAGGTCCTGCTATTTGGCCAAGGTCAGTAGATTCTCCCGGCTTTAGTCTCCGTACCTGTAGGGAGCGTGTGGGGACGAGAGAAGAAGGCCCTCCGGGTGGTGGCCAGTAGAGCTGCAGAGGAACGAAGGGTGACTCGGTCCCTGGGTGACACACGGATTAACACGGAGCCACTGCAACCCTCTGAGCCAGGGAGTGGCGTGACCAGCCGTGTTCACTGTGGTCCAGCCGTGGTGTGAGACTCAGTCTGGCCAGAGTGTTAGGGCAGCCAGACCGCAATGCTGGGAAGCCACCCTCCAGTCTCTCACAGCGACTCACATCCAAGAGCTAGATGTGAGGAAGCAGGGGACAACGGAGGACAGCTGACCACACACACCAGAGTTCAGGTCCTGCCCTGTTCAGAGGTTGAGGAGTTGGGCAAGAGTTCCCAAAAGACTCAGACGTGTAACCCGAGCACTGTGAAGGGAGACAAGCCAAGTGAGTGAAGTAGTCCCATCAGTCAGGAAGGAGTGAGGGCTTCTTAGTGTGTGCTGGTCCTGGGACTTGAACCGAGGGTTTGTACTTTTTAACATGTTTTTTATTGTAACAATACTGTACAGAGGGGTTACAGTTGGACGAGTAGGGTAATGAGGGCATTTCCTATTGAGCATTGTTACTTGGGTGTGTACTCTTGCTCACAAGCAAGTATACCCTTTTTGCTCACAGTTTGTGTTCTTCCACTTGAGCCATGCCTCCACTCCCAGTTTTCTGCTGGCTAATTGGAGGAGGGTTTGTTTGTTCTTGGCCGGGGCTGGCTTTGAACCTCAGTCTTCAGATCTCAGCCTCCTGAGTAGCTAGGATTACGATGTGAACCACCAGCGCCTGATAGGAACGAGTAATTGTAAGATAAGGGTATATTTTAGTCCTGGTTTTGAGATCAGCAATGATTGGTCAGTCATAGAGCCATGAGCAGAGTTGTGACTTTGATTGTGTTGATTGTCTCATTGCTAATGGTCCCATTTGAGGGGACAGGAAATTATTAGGGTATCTGATGAAGCGGGGATGGAGGCCAGGATTAGATGCTGCACAGTTGATTGTTAGTCACTCTTCTGTTCCACATGACACTCCTGTTCTTCTGTTGGATAATGTAAGAGCAGAACCTTTAAGCAGATATCACAAACTGTCAGAGTTGGAAATCATAAATGGTACCCTATTTTGTGACCATGAGTGATGGCCAGCTGGAGTTTGCACCTCCATTTTCCCTGGAGTTTCCAGGCTGTTTGACACAGACAGTAGTCATTTAGTTAACTTATTTTACTTTCTTTCTATCTCTGTCTTTTCCTTTCTCCCCTCTGGATTTAGAGAAATTTTAGAAAAATACATGTATATTGTTTTGCTTTGAAACACTGAGGTTAAACATCGCTATTAAGTTATGGTGTTCTAAGTTATCCACTCCCGTAGATAAATTTTGATATCTAAAGGACTGTGGGCAGCGTGTGCTTTGAACGTGATTTTAAGGCTTATCTTTGTTGAGTCATTTCAGCTTGGCAAGTATTGCCTGAAGTTGCCAGAGCTGGCCTATTTATCTGTTCACAGATGAACTTACTGGAGGTCTGCCATGTTCTGGGCCCCGAGGGAGCACTTGGACTACAGCTGGGGTTAGTCTCTGGTGCTAGCCAGCAAGGGTTTCTGAATCCTGGAAAGACAGCGGCGTCTTTACTCTAAAAGTGCTGCTTGTCTTAGGAGGAGGACTGATTATGTGTATCACAGTTAGTGGAAGTCAAACAAGGCCTGTATGTGTGAGCCCACAATAACACGTCACTGGGATGAGGGATATCCTCACAGATTGTTAATGAATTTCTCTTTCACTAACACAGCTTCTTCACGGAGAGCAGTACCTGGAGTTATATAAGCCACTTCCTAGAGAAGGTGGGTTATTACACACTATTCTGTACCATAATTTATTTTCTGATCATCTTCCAAGATGCCATTGTATTAAACTGGTGTAGAGGAACCCAGTGAGGGTTATCAGCAGAGAAACCAGTCAAGATTGAGGTTATTCGGTTATTCTAGAGATTGATGTTAGCAAGTAAGTACTTGTTTTGGTTCCATAGTAATCTTAGAATAAATTTCTCTAAGACAACATCTTACCTGGGTTGATATATGTGTTATTAACAATGGCATGGATCGTTTCTGTGTGTATTCCAGATTTAGTTGTCATTAAGTGTGGTGATTTACTTATTTATTATGGGCCTGGGTGCTGCCCCTTAGCTCTTGAGCTCAAGGCGAGTACTCTACCATTTGAGTTACAGTGCTACTTTGGCTTTTCCCTCTTATATGGTACTGAGGAATGGAACCCAAGGCCTCATGCATGCAAGCACTCTACCACTGAGCCACCTTCCCAGCCCAATTTTTTTTTATTCTTTAGTCTTGATACAGATTTCATAAAGCAGGCAGTGTTGAAAAATATAAAGCTGCCTCTAATTATGTTTTCTCCATTTTTTCCTTTTGGAGATATTAAGACCCAGACTACCTTAAAAACTTTTTTTTTTTTTACTGTTTTTCTTAGTGCGTCACTGTAATTTGGTAAATTTGACTTGTTTCTTTGGCCATATAAAGTGGTCAAATACAAAAATCAGTATTCATTTATCATTTCACATTCTATTATGTCGAGGTCAGCAAGTCGCTAGAATCTACTGTCATTTGTTCTTGAGCCTTTATATTTTACTAGAAATGTGACAGGATTTTTCACTCAGTGTATTCAAGCACATGTTTTCAAACCTTTTGTTTTCTCTGCCATGGTGCTGTGACTGGAGACTGTGTGCATCACCTGTGTGCTAGTGCAGTGTGCAAAGCGTAGTCGAGTATCAGACATCCTCTGCCCTGGTGCGTATCGCAGTCACGGGGGTCAGGAATGAAGTGTGGATTCTGGACTCCGGCCCTGGAGGTTGTGTGGGTGTGCTCACAAGTGTCCTCCTCCCGTCTGGGGCAAGGCGCAGCCCGGGCCGCCGCTTAGTGCAGCCAGAAGAATGTGCTGGCTTCTGCCCTGAGGGAGAGATGATAACACAGTGTCAGAAACAGGAAGGCTAGAATACTCCTCAGTTTCTTCCTCCTCATCCCCAAGTTAGCTTCTTAGATTGTTCCAGTAGTGTCTGTACATTTTCATTATGTAGTTTTAACGTTTACTCTCTAATAAATGTGAATGTTCAAAATCTGAGAGTTTAGAACTTTTTAGATCCTAGAAAAGCAAACCAAATGACCACTGATTACCTTCTGTGTACAAAGCAGATACAGCACTGATGGGACCGCGCCAGCTAGTCTTAGCAGCATCTTGTCAGCCACAGGGCAGTACGGAGCAAGACAAGATGGAGAGAAAGAAACTTAACAGTAGTACTGTATGTCCCGCCCATGAACCAGAACACACTCTATTCTAGAATACACTGGTCTCTACATGTTCTGAGTTTGAGTTTGTTCTTGTAATGTTTCTCTATGATGTCATTCTCTATAGATGTCTTTGACAAGGTATTGTTAGTGCAGAAGAATGCATTATTTCACCTGGGAAGTGTGGTGTTGATATAAAGTCACCAACTTTGAGTTTCTTTTTTTCTTTCTTTCTTTTTTTCTTTTTTTTTGGGGGGGGTCTGGTGTGGGGCCTGAACTCTGGGCCTGGGCACTGTCCCTCAGCTCTTCAGCTCAAGGCTAGCACTCTACCACTTGAGCCACAGCACCACTTCCGGCTTTTTTCTTTTTGCTTATGTGGTGCTGAGGAATCGAACCCAGGGCCTCAGGCATGCAAGGCAAGCGCTCTACCACTGAGCCACCTTCCCAGCCAACTTTGAGTTTCTTACAGAGAATATGTGATCTCCAAATATTAATATACGTAACAATGATTTTGAGCATTTTGCAAATATAATTATGCCAGATTTCCAGGATAGACTGTCATTGAACTGATTTTGTTAGTGTAGATTTAACCTTTTTTCCTTAAGTACTCATTTAGCTAATTTTCCAAAATGATAACATGCTCATTAGAAAAGCAGAAAATAAAATAAAAATAAATAATAAATGTCTGTAATCGTGTATGTACTTATCTGCTGTGTGCCGGTTGGTAATCTAATCGTGAAACAGACATTGCTCTTGGGCAGACAGGGTTTAGCGTCTGTGTAGGAGATGAGGCAGTGGTCAGCATCGTGCGGCATGCGATGGGAGAAGTCTGGAGAGCACAGGCACACAGGGCCGCCTCTAGCCCAGGACCAGACTGGACGCTGGGAAAGCTTCTTGGTGAACAGGAACCCACTCTGCAACCTGAGGGCTGATTAAGATGTAGCCGTGTAGGGAGGAGGCTGGAGTGTGTTGAGCCCTTCATGAAAAGTTTAGGAGTGAGTGAGCCGAAAGTATGGCTGCTGGGGAAATGAAAAAAGCTCAGGCTTCCCAAGGACTAGCTGGGGAGGACAGGGAGATTCCAGCTAGGGAGAGTGAAGAAGAGTCTTGAAGGGCCTTAGAAGGCAGGCTCAGGAAGCTATAGCCGTGAGTCTAAACGGGGAGCAGGACTGGGGGGCCGTTGACACAAGGCTGGGCGCTCCCTGGCTGCCTCTCACCTCCGGCACTTACTAAGTTACTTACATCTAGAGTTTTTCTGTGTATGTCCCCTCCAGTCCACTTCCTTCACTGTCTCTCTGCCTCAATTCTTGTTTCCCAGGCTTACTAACTTCTTACTGCATGCCACTGTGTTTGCATTTGTCAGTTTAAAGCCTCAAGTGGCAGTCCATAGACTGCAGGGTAAAGTGAAGTGGTTGTATGACTTCTTACCAGTCTCAGCACTCTCTGAGACTCTCTGAAGCATGACTGTGCAGATGGGTGGTTAGCATCCACTCATTGAGAGAACAAACAAGGAAGAGGAAGAGGGTGAGTGTACCCTTAAGGAAGGATTATCTGTTGCGATGCCTCAGTTAAAAGAGGAGACAGAGGCCATAAGAAGACAGAAACATTAGAAAGAAACCAGTGGAGATTTGAGAAGGAACTGGGCAGATGGTAATGGTGCTCAGTGACTGTTGAATGGATGACAGTTCAGACACCAGCGGAGTTGCTGACATTAAAAATGGCTGTGCTTAAAGATCCCATTCATCACAAGTGTTAGTACTTCAAATGAAGGGATTTACTATTCTGAATTAACCAAGTTTTGTCCAATGTGCTCAAGAAAATTATTTCAAACTAATTTGCTGAAATTACAGTGAAAAAATTAAAAATCCTTTCATGTCTTAATACAATAATTTGTGTTACTTTTCATTTTAGGAAAATTAAGATGTGAAGCAGTTATTGCTGATGTCCTAGATAAAGGATCCGGCCTTGTGATTCTTTTGGATGGTAACTACAGTTCTTAAACTAGAGTTATTGGACTGATCGGCTTTATATGTAATGTAACACCACAGACAGTGACCATTCGCCTTTATGGTGGAAGCATTTGAGAACTACTTTTCTTTTGTGGTGTGCTAAGGCTTGACCTGAGGCCCTTGTGCTCTTGCTTTTCGGCTCAGAGCCAGTATTCTACCAGTGCAGTCACACTTCCATGTCTGCCTTTTCTTGATGGTTAGTTGGAGATGAGTTTCGGGGATTGGTCTAACAGGGCTGACTTCAGACTGTGATCCTTAGATCTTAGCCTTCTGAATAGCTAGGATTACTGTGTGAACCACTGGTTTATCCATTATTATTATCATTATTACTACTAATATTATTATTGGTTGTATATCCTGGAACTTAGTGTGTGGGCTTTGTCCCTGGGCTTTTCTGCTCAAAGATAGCACTCTACCACCTGAGGGACTTTTCTTCCTGACCTGGCTTTGAACCATCATCCCCAGATCTGAGCCTCCTGAATAGGATTACTGGTGTAAGCCACCAGTGCCAGGTGGTCTTACCCATTCTTTAGGAAGGAAGGAGGGAAGGGAGAAGAAAGTAATTGGGGCATTTCAGTGGATTTAAAACAACACAACGAAAGCGCCAAGGTAAGGAATATGGCTTGAATACAAATCAAGAGAGAATTGCATTTGCTGGAGCAGAAGGAATGTTGAGTAGCTATCAATTGATAGGTTGTGTCACTGATAATCTTTTCTGTGTTAGCTACTGTAAAATTGCAAAATATTTGACCACTGGATCATTATTCTTTTTTTTTTTTTTGGGTCTGGTCGTGGGGCCTGAACTCTGGGCTTGGGCGCTGTCCCTCAGTTCTGCAGCTCAAGGCTAGCACTCTACCACTTGAGCCACAGCGCCACTTCTGGCTTTTTTCTTTTTGCTTATGTGGTGCTGAGGAATCGAACCCAGGGCCTCAGGCATGCAAGGCAAGCGCTCTAACACTGAGCCACCTTCCCAGCCCCTGGATCATTATTCTTAATGCTAGTTTAGATTTTCAACTTGTACAATTAAACTTATCGGACTCATAGTTAAAATGTACCATATCCCACATTTTATCTGCATTAGGAAAATAAAATGATAGCAGTCTAATAAATAGTTAAATGTAAGTTTTACTAATAGTTAACTAGTAAGCTGAACTAATTAAACTAGCCAAACTAGTAAGTTAAACTAGTAAGTTTAGTAGTTAAATATAAGTTACAGATATGTTACTAATAATTTATTTCTGTGAAAGTTTAAGAGGAAAAGAGATAGTAAAAGCTTGCAGGAAGTTTGATATTGCTCAGTTACTAATAATTTATTTCTGTGAAAGTTTAAGAGGAAAAGAGATAGTAAAAGCTTGCAGGAAGTTTGATATTGCTCAGTATGTGGAATACAGGCCCAGTCTCTTTGGTTGTAGATGACTTGGGTTGGCTGGGGTTGTATGTTGACACATTTTCTCACGTGAAAACCTACCACTGTGTGAGTGGTCTGCCTCCGGCCTGCGGCCTGCACCTGCTGCCCACCTGTACAGCTGCTGCATGCTGCAGCTCAGGAAGATGAACCACAGTGGGCTGTGAGGAACTTGCCTTCCTTTTAGCTTAATGTATTGAAAACATTTGTCATTCTGGAGGTTGGCCAACGTCTGGCTAAAATTCTCCAGTTGTCTCTTGGTCACTGCAACCTGCTGCCCCCTTCCTTCTCTCTGAGCTACTTACTTTCCCTCAGTTATAACCTGGTCACTGGCTACCATGGACATGTAATAGGAATTACAGTTTAGATAAAATTAGGAGTATTATCTTTAGGTAAGAACCTTACTTTTTTTTTTTTTTTTAACCAAAACACTGCTGCTTTCCAATTGGTTTTTCTTTCTAATTAACCGAGTTTTTAAAAAGAGTAGTTTTAGATTAACCACAATATTGAGCAGAAAATACAGGAAGTTCTCTTTTGGCCCTAGCACATGTAACTTCTGGAAGAGTGGCCTTCACTGACACAGAGTTAGCACTCACAGTTGGTCTGTCACGGGCACACTCCTGAAGAGCACTGTGAAATGGATCCATCCATAGGTTATGACTCATTTTAGTGGGGAAGTCCTCAGGTTTGCCGGCTGAGCTTCCCCTACACCCACTGCCGGCAGCCACTGCCCTTTTCTGTCTTGACAGTAAAAACGATCTCCCGGATTCCAGTGTGCAATTCAAAATCACATTTGAAGTGCTTTGACCTAGATATAAAGCAGACAGTACTAAAACCCCAGTGGATGAGTGGAGGGACAGCTCTGTCCCTTAACCTCTGCTCATCTGCTAACTTGCTTGCTCGTTTATCGGCTGACTTACTAGTTAACTCAGGGCCCTTTTTTGTACAACCTTCTAGTTTCTGAGACTATGATGAGCCCCTGGTGGCCACCCCTTTCTTCCTTCTGTGTTCTGTGCTCTTATCCAGTGCTTTGGCATAGAGCATTAGGAAGTTTTGAATGTGGTCCCATGCATTTTTTTTTTGGTCGGTCATGGAACTCAGCTCTTCAGCTCAAGGTGAGCGCTCTACCGCTTGAGCCACAGAGCCAATTCCAGTTTTATAGTGGTTTATTGTAGATAAGAGTCTCACGGACTTTCCTGCCTGGGCTGGCTTTGTACCACAATCCTCAGATCTCAGCCTCCTGAGTAGCTAGGATGACAGGCATGAGCCACTGGCGTCCGGCTGTCCCTTGCATTTTCTAGTGGAAATTTCTGTGGTGTTTATGGTAGAAAAAAATTGAAATATATATCAGTTGGGGTCTTTTAAGAAATGAGAGAAACTGCAGTTTCCTAGTATTTGTGAAGCTCTTCTTTCTGCCATCCAGAAATCAATGATTAATGCATTGAAATGAATGTGTTGGGTTATTTGTAATTTAGAGGCCCTTTCAGTAGGTGATTTCTGTCTTAAACTTGTAAAGGTATGGTTAGCTAGTTTGGTTTTTAATAATTCCTTTTTTCCCTGTTTTTGTAGTCTATTCTTACGTGGAAAAGGAGCTTATCTGTTATAATCAGTTCACTATCTTTGTTGTTGGCTCTGGAGGCTTTGGTGGTAAACCAACATCAGAAAAAGCCAAGGTAAGGCGTGGCTTTTAAAATACCTACTATACATCTTTATAATGATTCAGTACTATGTATGCAGTGTGTATTAAATCAGAATAATGATGATACTATCTGTTCAAACACTGATCATGTTTATGTGTGCTACTGTGGTACTCTACTCATTCATTTTCTTTGTAAATGGTTCTAACCTATAGTTACTTTGCTGCGTTAGAAACCATAAGTCCTATGCCCGAGAAGTCCTCGCTGTGCTTGGAGAGTAGCTGCTTTTGTCATGGCATCTTGCACTTTAGGAGACTAGGACCGTCCTGTTCTGCGGTGTGGTGTGGCCGGTGGTGTCCCCAGAGCACTACCTCAGAGCACTAGTGTTAGTGAGCTGTCTGGGCTGTGGAGCACGGTAGTGCTTTGGAAGCTTTGGCTCCAGGCTCCTCAAGCCCATCTCCTCACTGTCAGAAGAAGGTACTATGTGAACTTTAAATAGCTGGGGTTTTCTGTATTTTTAAATTTAAACTATTCTTAAACAGAAGACCATTTTTGTTTGTTGGCAGTGGTGACTTGATCACCCTTAAGCAACTGAAGTTGAAATGAAAGGAAAAGGCACTGGAAGTAAGAACTCTTTGTCCAGCTGTGCTGATCTAGTTTATGCAAAGAATCTCCTGGTAGAAAAGCAGTTTGTATAAGATTGGTGGGGAGAGCTTTGGCTTCCCATGGGGTGAGGGCAGGAGGGCAAGGTGGATTTACACGTCACAACTGGCCTGGCTGGCCTTTTTCTTTCCACTATACACGTAAGTAGCTGCTTCTTGTAGTGTTTCTCCCTCGGGCTTCTCTGAAGCTCACTCCGAATTCTTTCCACTATACACGTAAGTAGCTGCTTCTTGTGGTGTTTCTCCCTCGGGCTTCTCTGAAGCTCACTCCGAGGATGTTAGAGGTATACACACAAATCTTCAAGTTAGCAGTCAGTCCTGAGAGACATGAAGGCCAGCACTGATTCCAAATGACTGTTGCAGAGGTAGTAATTGGAGAAAACAGTTCCCAGATTGTAAGAGTTTACTGAAGATATTGACACAATTTAAAAAAGTTAGCAAAGGAATGCACATACTACTGCTCCTGTGTTTTATGCTAAGATTTGTTGCTCTCAGACTGTGTAAAACAAAATTTATTCACGTTTTCTGAATACTAAAAATCTTACTGTACTGATTGGTAAACTAAAACAAAACCAAACAAAAACAAACCCTGGAAGTCCCCACTAGCTTTTTGGTGGCTGTTACTGAACTTTCATCCGCCATTTCTCCAGCCTTTCCAGTTTCTAATGAATACTGTCCTCTTCACTCTTCTACAGGATTGACTTAGTACTTTCTGGAAAGTACAAAGTGGTATCTGTCTTATTTTAGTTAACATAATGGCCTGTTTGATAGCAGAGTATTCCATTGTGTGTGTGGATTGTATTTGATGGTTGTCTGGTTATTATGTCAGTGGAACTTAGTGCAACTGTGGCTGTGGCTAACTGGCCTTCTGTAGTAGGGGGTACTACAGACATCTAGGAGATACTTCAAGACCACTTACCCAACTATCACTGCTCCAAACCTTGGAGAGTCTGCAATTACAGAGCAAAAAACACACCCTGCAGACTGTACTGCATACAAATAAAACACAGGAGTGCATTTCCTGTGAAAGTTGGAAAATAGAAGCCTCGCATCTGCATCTTCCCCAAGGGCTTTTATTATCATGGTTTTTGTTTTGTTATTTTGGTAGGAGGTATGGAGAGGAGTTTTCAAGTATGAATTTGGTACATATCTAGGCTTGGCATTAATAATGAAAAATAACTTTAATTCTCTTAATGCTCTATAAGAAAAAAGCTGGATTTATAGAAGAAACTATGTAATACGGACAAAACAATTTGGTTTTTGTTATAGAATGCTGAACAGTAGATATTAGCTATTTGAATATAATTTAAACTTTGGTGGAAATCAGTTACAAATTTGCTCACATTGTTACTTTTGACATGTTCCTAAGTTTTCTTTAGTATTTTTACTTGTTGGTTTTAAGAGATCATGGTCATTTAGGATGTGTTGGTGACTGAGTTTAAAATACTTCATTTTGTTTAGATGGTAATTAATATACGCAAGGATGGTAAAAGACCAGTTTTAAAGACGGACTCAATTGAGATTGAATAATTCTTAGGGCTGTCATTGTCCTGCTTTCTCTCCTTTGTGATCTGAAGACTGGATCTGATTATATAATTCCTTACATTCGAAAGAATTAGGAAAATTGTAATTCACTTAAAACTAGGAGTGTCATTTAAAATGTTATCCTGAACATAAGGCATTTAAAACATAAGGCATTTAGTCTACTGAAACAAGGTTGTCCACATTAGATAGAATCCAGCATCCGTAGTACGAGATGACATGTCATTGTTTTTTAAATTTCAGGTATCTGTGGCCACACCTAGTAGGCCTCCTGATGCTGTACTTACAGATACCACCTCACTTAATCAGGTAAGCAAGGCTGTTGGTCAGAAAGAAGAGGTGTCCAGTGAGTTTAGGCCAAAATGGAGCATCTCAGGTATAGTGAGGAGGTGATTTGTTTTCTGATAGAGGAGGTAAAATGCCTTGTCTGTGGGCAGTACCAAGTAGCCATAGGACGGGCGGAGACCTCAGGATTCTGCTCTCTCGGATCCAGAAGGCTGTGGTGTGGACAGAGTTCTTAGGCCTCTGCAGTAGGTCAGCATGAAACCATTATTCACTTGTTTTGTGATATGAATTCTGATGTGTTTGATCTGAGGACTTATGCTTCCTAGAAAGCAGAAGTCTGAATTTCAGAAATGGTCTATTCAAGTAATCAAGTGATGGAAAGAACACTGTTTTCAGTCTTCAGGTTAGTTTTTCTGTTTTTGGCAATACCGTACTGGTGTTTGAACTCGGTGTCTTGAGCACGGTAGTCAGGTGCTCTTCCACTTGAATCACACCCAGATAGGGTCAAGATGACTGAGACGCACCCCTGTCTCCACACAGCTGATTGCCCCATGGCCTTCCTTCCCCCCCCCCTCCCCCCCCGCCAACTCGTGCTTGTTTACAGCAGAGGACCTAAGGTCATTCTGGCTGCTTTGTCACCGTGTGCTTGGTGCCCACTTGCTCATTTCCCCTACAGTTGTGTGATTTTGCATGTTTCTGCTGTCCTTTGTCTCACACTTGTCTTCTGTGGAACAAAGCTTATTAGTTTAACTCTTCCTTCCAGGGCCCTCATTTTACTTTTGTTATTTCCACCGTGGTCCATCTGTGTCTCATCTCAGTCTTGAGCATCTCCACCTTCCTTGTCAGTGCTCTTGGTAGAAGGAGAGGGCCTTACCTGGGAGCTTCTTTAAGCACACTGAACCACGCGCTCTGCCTCCAGGCCAAGTCAGAGGCCCTGGGCCGCTGTCTCTAAAGTTGCTTGATGTTTGTCTTTGAGTGTCTCTCACCGGACATATCTAGTCAGACCTCCTTTGGTTCTCGTGCACTGCTTTAGTTTCCTCCACTGCTCTCCTTACATGTATGCTGGATCTTTTTATGTTTCTGTGCTCTTTTAGTTTTTACGCTCACTTTCATGGTTCATTTTCTCTTTCTTCCGTCTCAGTATATTTACATTTGCTCATGTTCTTTGGGTATTTTATTTTTATTTAGTCGTCATTTTTTATAGTACTTCAATTTTTTTCATCTGTTTCTCTCCTGAGTCAATCTTGAGTTTACTTTTTGGTTTCTTCATGCTGCTATTCTTGTTTTCGAATTTCAGATTCCCAGTATTTTTGTCCCTATATATTTAGTATTTTTGTTCTGTCTGTCTGTCTGTCTCTCTGTTGTACTGAGGATTGAACCCAGAGCCTTGAGCCTGCTAGGCCAGTGTTCCATGCTGAGCCTTGCCACGTGGACTGCTTGACAGATAAGAGTTGGTTAGTGCCTGGAGTGCTCTGCCTAGGCTCTCGGCAGTGTCGGCATGACAGGCAGCCTCCGTGAGTGCAGGTTCCCTCGATGTGGCCCCGTCTCTGCCTAGGCTGCTGGGACCTGCTGTCCTCCTGGTCTCAGCTCTCCTGTTGCTTCGGGTTAGGCGTGCATGCGCACAGCTAGGAGTCAGAGGAGGCGTCTCAAACTTTTCTGCTCAGGTTGGCCTTGAACTGCAGTCCTGTCTTAAGAATTACAGAAAACATTTTCTGCAAATCAAACGTGCTAACCAAGACTCATCAGCAATTAAAAAAGCCGTCTATGCTGGTGTGGCTCAGCAACCCTCCACAATTTATAGTGCATCTGGCAAGGGAAGACGGGTGGAGGCAGACCCTGAGGGTTGAGTCGGTTCATAGGTGCACTAAGTGCCCGCTATTGGCTCCTTTGTGAATTTCCCACTTTCAATTCGGTTACACAATTTCTGTTACTTGAAAAACGGACAATGTGAATGCCAGGAGTAATGTGACTTTTTCCCAATTTCTTATACCTGAATCCTACTTAAATAAATTAGTCATGTGAAGATCTGTACTAACCAGAAATAATCTTTCGGTAAGCTGTCAGGCTGTACTGCAGAGAGCTGACATTCTGGGTTTAGTGTGCTATCAAGTTTGAGAGATGGCTTTTGGCCTTGGTATGTCTAGAATTTTGTTAGGAATTTCAGTTTAGAACATTCCATTGAAAAAGTTGACATGAATTTTGCTTGGTTAGAAGAGACTATAGCCAGGCACTGGTGGCTCATGCCTCTAATCCTAGTTATTCAGGAGCCTGAAATCTGAGGGTGAAGCCAGCCTGGGCAGGAAGGTCCATGAGACTCTTGTGTCTCCTATTAACCAGTAAGCAAGTCAGAAGTAGAGCTGTGGTCAAGTTGGTAGAGCATCAGCCTTGAGAAAAATAGCTCAGGAATAGTGCCAGGCTCTGAGTTTACAACCCAGGACTGGCATAGAAAAACACTATGAACATTTTCCTTGTCTTTATTTTGTTTTAATGAGAGCAGACAAAAGGGTTCCCTCCTGTGAAGCTCTCCGTAGACGGTGATGTGTAATATCCTCCCCATTGGCCTCCCCATTGTTGAACAGCTCCTCTTCCCCACTGATTGCACGGTCAGTTACAAAACACTTAATTTTCAGGTATTCTTTTTTAGTTATTCTGTTGTTTATTCTTTTTCTTCTTTTATTTATTTATTTATTTTTTTGGTCGGCTGTGGGGCTTGAACTCTGGGCCTGGGCGCTGTCCCTCAGCTCTTCAGCTCAAGGTTGAGCGCTCTACCACTTGAGCCACAGCGCCACTTCTGGCCTTTTCTGTTTAGGTGGTGCTGAGGAATTGAACCCGGGGCCTCATGCACATGAGGCAAGCGCTCTGCCACTGAGCCCGTTTTTTCCTTTAATCAGAACATGGATTAGGGATGACAGATTCTTACAGGATAGCCAGTCATATTTCCTACTCCACATCTAATGTATTCTCAGAAAACACCAAGTGCTAGTGATACTTACAGTTGTTTCTCCACAGGCTGCTTTGTACCGCCTCAGTGGAGACTGGAATCCCTTACACATTGATCCTAACTTTGCTAGCATGGCAGGTGAGTTAATAATAGGGAATTATCTAATCACATACTTAAAGACAGTACTGCTTATATCTGGCAATCTGACTAACCTTTAAAAAATAGCTTACGCCCTCTATACAGAGAGGAGTAGAATGACAGGAAGTGGCTTGCAGGAAGTTTTGTGCTTGATGTGTGGATTATGGCAGAGCAGAGCTGCCAAGGCCAGGTCTAGGGTAGCCCGTTACCACAGGGCCTGGGACTGTGGGGAGGGGTGTCACGTGATCCAGAAGGCGTGGTCATCAGAGGAAGAGAGCAGAGAACTGAAAGGTTAGACAGGAATCATCTCCCTCATAGACACCGAAGGGAATCACTGGGCAAGTTCACCGTCACAAGCTGAAATGAAACAAGTCTTTGTGTTCCCAGATCTCTCACAGTTATTTCCTGTTTTACTCTTTCTTCCACCATTTTCTTCTAGGAAGCATTATTTACAAAATACTTTACATGTATATTAAAATGAATGGTGTAATTCAAAGACACATTTTAAGTATAACTACATGGTACCTGTGTTCATTTTAGTTTTCTGTTCCTTAGGTTTTGAGAAGCCCATATTACATGGATTATGTACCTTTGGATTTTCTGCAAGGCATGTTTTACGGCAGTTTGCAGATAATGATGTGCTGAGATTCAAGGCAATTAAGGTATATATGTTACATAATTTGAATGGTCTCTCTCTGTAATTAAGGAAACAGTTTGTCACTTAATTTAACATAAGTACTGCACTGAAGCAGTAAACATTTCTGTTACTGAATTGGCACTCAGCTCATTGTTTTCAGTAGCTATAAATAGCTCTGCTCCTCACACACCATCTTACAGGTGTAGATGTAACAGACTAGTTGGACTTTTTATGAATCAGTTTAATATAATCACATGTCAGCTTTTAAAACCTTCAGATCTGCTTTTTCTGTTTGATAGTCTGTCCTAATTTAACTAAAAGTGTGAAGGGGCTCTGTTTGGATTCTGATAAAAACATGCATCTGTAGCTCCTGATGGCTGCACATGAGCTTTAGTAGATTCAGGATTATTCACAGGCTTTCACCTGTGCCTACAATATTTTGCATAAGTGAAAGATGTAGACTCACTCAGGTGTGGAGATGCACGTTGTTCACCCTGGCACAGGGCAAGCTGGGGTAGGGCTGCATTCTCAAGCCCAGCCTGGGTCACTCAGGAAGACCCTGCTTCAGAGACCCAAGGAAAAAAAATGCATCTTTACGTAAACTGTTTACAGCAGCATCAAATGGCACCATAAAGTTGCACTGGTTTTTTTCCCCCTGCACAGCTAGAAGATACCTTTCCTTGGATAGAACTCTCAGTTATTTTTATTATCCAGTCATGTGTGCACTAACAGTAAAGTATGAGCCAAAAAGTTTTGCCTTGTGTTTCCCAGACTGACTTAGTAGCACTTTCAAGTGACTGTACTTAAATATGATAATGGTTTTCAAAGTTCGTTGGTAAACATTACTCGCTGATTTTGTACTTGGAAAGACATCGTACCATGCAGTTCTCTTTGTTAGTGTTTTCACATAGCTTTTTGTGTTTTCTTCCCTTTTTACTCATTGGCCTCCCAAATTTCCCCCACAAGTAGAAGTTTCATTTAAAACTTTTTGACTCCCAAATGCTGTTTTTTTAAAGGCTCGTTTTGCAAAACCAGTGTATCCAGGTCAAACTCTACAAACTGAAATGTGGAAGGAAGGAAACAGAATTCATTTTCAAACCAAGGTATGAATGCTAGAGTTGGCGGAGCTTTGCTTTGTTGCTCTCTTCAAGCTCTATATGATTTCATTCTCAACAGTGTTTTGTTTCTTGGATTCCACTATGTGCATATGAGATAGAAACTAGATGTTTCTTTTTACATCACTAATTGTAGTTGAAAATTAGATGCTTTATGGACCTTTTTTTGCTTATGCTTTATCTCATTAATGAAAGATCTTGCAACATCTTGCAAACCCCTAGTACAAGGGAGAATTAGAAACACTAGTGTGATAGGAAAAGTGTTCTAAAGTAATTTTACTGAGTTAAAAAATGGTTTAGAGAATAAAAGTGTATCCATTAGAGTGTTTTGAGGGAGTTATTGGTGTTCTTGTAAATTACTACAAGGTCATTCAATCATTTTTTAAGAATGTTTTTAAAAAATAATTTTTGTTAACTAACACTTTTTGGCTTGGTCATTTTGTGGACTCTGATTTGTTGATGTTGTAAGACAGGCTTCAGAAAATCTGTTCCTAACTTGCTGCTGGCCACACAGCAGGCGGTGGAGCTGAGAAGGTGCCCAGCTGGGAGTCCGGGGCCTTTTACCCATTTTTTTTCTCTTAAATTGATAACTGCAAATTTCTGCTTCTGTGGTAGTTTTAGTGCCGAAAATTCCTTCCTGCTTCTTGCTCACAGATTAGCGTTACCTACCAGTTATTTTACTAGGCAAATTCTCCTGTTGTAATGGCTTTAGTACAAGTTCACCCTCAGAGCTGGTATCTGTCTGTCTCTGCCTCTGGAGATGGGCTCTGGCCTTGAATTTGAGATCTTCCCACTTCAGCCATCCTGAGTTCTGGAGATAAAAGCTTGTATAACCACACCTGTCTGAGTCAATCTTTTTAACTCCACCCTTCTTTCACACACATAACCACACACATACACACATAAGCACGCACACACACGCACGCACACACACGCACACACACACACACACACACACACACACACGGGCTTTTCTCTGAACCTTGTTGCATATCTGCAACCCTCTCATTTTCTAGTTATTTCTCTTTTGGGGGGAGGGAGAGCCTACTGCTGTGACAGTAGAATCCAGGGTGTTGCCAATGCAAGGCAAATGCTCTGCCATTGAGCTTCACGCCTTGAATTCATTCATATCTTACTTGAAAAATGAGGCATATGCAAATAGACTGGAGATGCGTCTCAATGGCAAAGCATTAGCCACATTATGAACTCAGAAGTTTTGAGGACCATGGCTGTATTTTAAGTTTTTATTTTCACAGAATTCCACACATAATTTGTATGACTACAAACTTGGAGGACTAGGGAATAGTAATAATGCATTCTTACCATTTAAAGACATTCCAAGAAAGCCTACTTTCCTTTCAGTGCATTTGTTGTTTTGCCCGAGATCAGAAGTGCACTTTTCTATTAGTGATGCATGAGAGTCCTTTCTTCACTCCTTCCGTTTCTCCTAACTTCCTTTCCACCATGTTTTAAGAAATAATTAAACATGTTTCAAAGCAGTATGTTTGAACTGATTACAAAAAAGGAACTTACTGACGTGCATTTGGGGAGTCTTTTTATGCTTTTCACTGTGGAATCTGAAACTAGAGTTACTACTTTGAAAACTGAACGGTGGTCTGTTCCTTGCCACTTTCCCTCGGTAAGAGGAACCAAATATACCTTGAGTACTACCTCATGTAGACATTGTGTCCTGATCTCTGCTAGCACTTCTCAAATCTGTGGCTCCTCATTAATCCACTTAGGTTTCAGAAAGTAAAATCCCCTGAACACCACAGCCCGAGGCTCATCCAGACCCATTTGGTTGTTATTTTAGGGGACGAGACTTGATCATTCTAAGATTTAAGGGCTTTAGTTGATTCTGTAGCCATAGCTAATAACATTTGTATCATCTTAAACGCCTTCATGCTTATTCTTGTACCATACATCATTAGCCTTTTGTTTCCTTTTTCATACAAATATCTTTCATATGACTGTTGTTATTTACAGTGAAAGTGTGTTTCCATTGAAGCCATCAGAGTAAACTGTTGTTGCCCCTCTTCTACTCTTCATCAGGTGCAGGAAACAGGCACCATTGTCATTTCAAATGCGTACGTGGACCTTGTGCCAGCCACGGCTGCTTCTGCTGAGACACCCTCTGTGGTAGGTTCAAAACTGCTCCAAGCTTTTCCTTATTTGTGAATTTTTGAGCTGACAGCATTTTAGGAATGAATGCTTAAGCCACATTTTTTCCTGTCAAGATGTATGAAAAAATTCACAATTCTTCATGTGGACACTGATTCAAAAACAATTGAGGGAAAAGGAATATTTTGACAGCATGAAGTTTTTTGTTTTTTTGGGTCCGGTCGTGGGGACTCTGGGCCTGGGCGCTGTCCCTCAGCTCTTCAGCTCAAGGCTAGCGCTCTACCACTTGAGCCACAGCGCCACTTGCGGCTTTTTTCTTTTGGCTTATGTGGTGCTAAGGAATCGAACCCAGGGCCTCAGGCATGCAAGGCAAGCGCTCTACCACCGAGCCACCTTCCCAGCCCCGACAGCATGAAGTTTTAACAAACTTTTTACATGATCCTGGGATCTCTGAAGAAAAAACGAATTCTCCAGTGTTTGAGTGACTAAATCAGTTTTTTACGTTGAACAGTATTTTGGATAAAAATAGGTGAAAAGGCCAAATAGTCTTTTGCTTGAGTTAAAGATAGATATATAAAGATGTATATGTGCAGGTATGAAAACAGCGTATCTGTTGAAACATCTGCATTCTCTATTAACGTTTGTTAAGGCTCTTGATAAATAGATATTCTGTCTCTAAAATAACTTGTCATTGTTGAGATTTTCACACTGGTGATCTTTGCTGTTATAAACCATGTTACCACATACAAATTAAAATCTCTTAAAAATTATCTGAGATTGAAGACATACAACATTTTACTGCTATAGAGAAATTCAGGCTACATCTGAGTCCTGTTTTGTAGACCCTAGGATGTGAGTCCCTTCTTGTTTAGTATCTTTTTGAGGTTAATTTGGGACATAGGTAACCCCATTCCAAGTGTCGCTGAAAGGAGAACCCTCTTATTAAGAAGGCGCTGGTGGCTCACACCTGTAATCCTAGCTACTCAGGAGGCTGAGATCTGAGGAGCATGGGTCAAAGAGCCGGGACACGAAAGCTACCATACTCTTAGTTCCAGTTAACCAGCAAAAAGCTCAGAGTAGAGCTGTGGCTCAAGTGGTGGAGCTCTAGCTTTGAGGAAACAAACCCAAAGCAAACCTCAGGCTAGCACCCAAGCCCTGAGCAGCTCCTTCCTGCTCTCAGCCGGTCAGATGCCTCCCCCAGCGCTCTCACAAGGCTGTACCCGAGCGTGGAAGAGGACAGGACATCCGCGGCCCCAGCCCAGTCTCAGCACTTGACGGGCAGAGGACAGTCTGCATGTTTTGCAGAGACCTTCCCTCCCATCTGCTGCTCACCTTTCCCTCCAATTAGTAAGTGCTTTGGTCCAGTAAATTACACCACAGATCCATCCGTCTGAAGGACCTGGTTTTCTCTGTTTGGAGGTGCAAGCCTGGTGGGGTGAGGGGCTCTCTGTGCTAAGCAGACTGAATTCAGGCCAGTAAGGGTGAGTCTACTCCAAACTCTCTGTTCTTTCTGTGGCTAAGTCCCCCAAGAGAAAAGGTGAGAAGGAACTAATGATTTGTGAAAGCAAATGAATATCCCATCCACCTAGTGCACAGGACTTGATAATGGCTTAATAACATGGCCATGTCCCGCCAGACCAACTCTACCCAGGAGATAAACCCTAGCTTTGGTCATGGTGGCCTAGGAATCTGGGTTTCAGAGCACACATAAAAGCCTTAACTTAGACTTTCATGTTTTAGAATTATCATGGCCTTCATGTTTAAACCTCTATTTTTGAGTTGTCTAGTAAAGGAGAGATGCATCTTTCTTTTTGGGTTTTTTGTAACTATAAATGCAGTGATCTGTGTCTTTAAATTATTTTCTGTAACAGTGTTTGTTATCCCAGCCAATTACAGCAAAACAGTGGAGCAGCTATTGAGGAGGCTAAGATCTGAGGATCACGGTTCAAAGCCAGCCCGGGCAGAAAAGTCAGTGAGACTCTTATCTCCAACTAACCACTAGAAAACTGGAAGTGGTGCTGTGGCTCAATCGGTAGAGTGCTCACCTTGAGCTGAAGAGTGCAGGGATAGTGCCCAAGCCCAGAGTTCAAGACCCACGACCTACAAAAAACAAAAACAAACAGTGGAGCATGTAATTGCTCTTTATGTACAAGACATGCCTCCTATGAAACTTTTGTCACCCAAATTGCCTGAAACTCAGTGGTTAAAAAGTCTAGGATTCTAAAAAATACCACCCCCCCCCCCCCCCCTTTTAATGGCATATGCTCACAATCATCTTTGCCCTCAGATTGTCAGAGTATTATTAAAGTTCACACTTTGTCTTCTTGGCAGAATGGCCAGCTCCAGAGCGCTCTTGTTTTTGAGGAGATAGGCCGGCGCCTGAAGGAGGTTGGGCGTGAGGTGGTGAAGAAAGTCCACGCTGTGTTTGAGTGGCACATCACTCAAGGTGGACACACTGTGGCCAAGTGGAGTAAGTGGGCCCTGACTCTAATGCTGTAATAAAACTCTGTGGGCGGAGAGTTAAAGACTCTGCCTTTGACCTTCTTAGGTAAGCTTCTTCTCAGGGTTTGGAGCCTCCAAACCCTTGTAGTTTTTCCTAAATATAGAGGGAAACAATGAAAACTGTGTTTTAAAGATTTCATTGTAATGTTAATGCAGTTGGCACTCCATATGCATGGTCTCACACTTGGGGTTTTAGTCAGCCACAGATGGGAAATGCAGCTGGGTCTGTGGCTCCATGTTTTTCTTGTCTCTGTCTCTAAACAACTCAGTGTTTACATTGTACTGGGTGTTACAAGCTGTCCAGAGGTTTCTGCGTGGGTTCCATGCAAATGCAGTGCCATTTTGCAAAAGGAACCTGAGCGTTCTGAGTCCCCAAGTGGACAGGTCTTGGAATGGACCTGTCCATTAGAAACAGTCAGCTGCTTTAACTCTAGTCAAATGAAATACTTGTGAGTGAGTCATTTGAGAATTCTGTGTCCCAAAACAATACTCTGAATTGTCTCAACTATTATCAGTATGAAATTGTAATTTATTTCATTGACATACGTATGCTGTAGTCAAAGCTACTTGATCTGTCCAGGAAGTTATCTCACTGTGTTGGCAAGGTGGCTAGGCATCTAATCGTAGACTGACTTCCTGAGGAAACACAGCAGTCCTATTCTCTTCCAAAGGCTACCATTGTGTGAGGAAAGGAGTATAATTAGAGGATACAGGAAAATAATACTTTCATTTAATTTTTCACTGAAATCTTTTAATTTCTCTTTCTTAACCTGGAAGTCCCAGGAACCAGAAGTCTTTCCCTGTTAGTCAAGCAGTTTTCGGCAGTCTTTCTCATAAATGGGAAAAGCAATGTGTAATAGCTTGAGGGTATTAAACTCGGGGCCTTGTGTTCCGAACTCAGCTTGCCTGAGCCATTCTTGTCTATTCCTCCCTATTCCGCTCTTCACCATTCTTCCCCAACCTCCTCATCCATCCCACATGCCTCCCCAATTCCTTCCTGTTCTCCATTGAACCCCACTCCTCTCCCAGACAGCTCCCCATCCTCGCTCACCACTCTACCCTTCCCCATTGCTGGGCCTCCCAGACTCCACCCCTTCTTCTGCAGTTCCCCGTTTCTATTCTCCTCTCTCATCCTTCTTGCTCATTCCTCTCCACCCCTGCCTATCTGCACTGGCCCCAACTCTTCTGATTCTCCCCACCCCTCTCTGCTCCTGACCGGCCTCCCCAGCCCTCAGCCCTTCCTCGGTCCTCATTCTTCACCGTTTCCCCCATTCGTTCCTGTTCTTACTTCATTCCTCTCTGATTCTCAGACATTCTTCCCCATTCCCTGCCCCTACTTCCTCCCCAATTCTTTTCCATTCTTTCATTAGGTTGTGATGATGGACTCCGTTTGTTCATCCTTCCTCTTGTCCATTCGTCACCATTTTCTCCCGTTGGTCTCACTTCTCCCCGTCCTTCCCAGTCCGTCCTCGTTTTCTCCTGTTCCTTGCCTTTGTCTTATCTGACCCACTTCCCCGTCCTCCCTTTGTCCCTCTCCTCTTCTGTTCTCCCATGTTCTTCCCAGTCTCCCTCAGTCGCTATTCCTTCCCTACTTTAATCCTCGAACTTCTAACTCAGTTTCCCCCATTCTTTCCTATTCCTTTCCTTGCCACATTCCTCCCGTACTTTTCCAGCTTCTCCTTGATTCCTTCCCATCCTTCCCTGCCTCCCATCCTCCCTAGCCTCTCCCTCCTTCCCCATTCCTCCTCATTGCTAAGCATTCTTCTCCATCTGTCCTTTCCCTCATCTCTTTCCATTCTTGCTAATTCATCCCGATGCTCCCCATCTGTCCCATTTTTTCCTTTTGTCCCCCATTCTGCCACCCACTCACCTGTAGGGACAATACTTGTCTGGCAGGATGTATGTGCTGAGCCACTTTCCTAGCCCCCAGAGAGAAGTCTTTGACCGGAAAGCATGGGTATGGTTTCCTTAGCCAGACCACCCTTGATTCTGACTGAAGGGAGAGGCTGTGGCTGTGTCTTGAGGGTTAGCCCTTTGACACTGTTCCAGGGGAGGAGGGGAGCAGCGTGGCTTCTGCCTTGCTGAGCTACTGCAGAGCCCTTCATCCTTCCTGTGGGCCAAAAGGGAGCCACCGAGAGGAAGCCAAGAGAAGGCTTCCAAGAGTTTCTTTTGGGAAAGAAGCCCCACTTTCACGTATATTTGTAGCTTATTTTTAACTCTAGGAAGTATAGCTTTAGAATAGACTAATACAAGCCATCTTGATCCCTGGGTGGGTGACGGGGTCAGGATGAATAGCTGTTAGAATAGCAAGAACGCAGCTATTGTGCCATCTGCGTTTTTACGACTCACGTGGAACTGAATGCCTGGGCATATCCAGATTTGGTTTTCCAATACCCTATGTCCACAGGCGTTGCTTTTACTCTTTTGAGTAAAGGCTTACTTGCTAAGTAAGTTTCTGAATTCCCTTTAACAAAGTCTGTTTGCTTGTCACTTATGCAGCGTGGTTATCACTCTCTGTCTCCCCTGGGGCTTCTCTGACGGTTTGTTTGTTCTTTCCCAGCTCCTCTAGATCTATGGATATCTTATTTGCTAAAAGCATTGCAGAAAGTTTAGTTTAGATGAAGTAGGATTGCTTTTACCCTCTATTAAGATAAATGTCAGCAAACACTCCGATATCGGGGTACAATATATGGTAATGATATCTACCATTGAGATAAAACAGTTAACTATTTTACAGTATTATTTCTAAAACCAGTCAGAAGTTGTTCTGTGCAACAGTAAAAATCTAAAAGAAATGAAAAAACAAAGCAATAAGAAGAATGAAAACAGGCTTTCTGCGGACTGCAGAATAATTGGCTTCTGAAAATTAAACATTTACTCTGAGCTGAAACTCGTAAAGCCCCAAAGCTCTGAAAATGAAGTTTTTTCTTTCCAGTGTTAGCAAAACCTGAGCTGAACTTGTGTGAGATTCATCTTTATTTAACTGACTGGAGTAATCACGAGTGGCTTTGCTCATAGAGTGCTCTAGCACTTGAGCCGTGCCTCCAGACTGGCTTCAAGTCTAGTCACACAGTCTACATCTCTTCCATGTAGGAACATAGGATTTACGTTTGGATAGCATGACTAGACAAATGATGTGTTGTGCATTTTGTCTGAATGTAAGTGGAGCTTAAAACACGTGCTGTGTGACCAACTATAGGACTGGACCTGGGTTTTCATTCATGGGCAGCTCACACTTTATTTAAATTTTGTCAGTACTGGGTTTTGAACTCACTACTTCACACGAAGCAGGTGTTCTACCCCTCACCTCCAGCCAAACTCAGACTTTCTAAAGTGTGGCTTCAGCTAACGCTTCATAAATTTTATATGGTTTTGGAGCAGTTCTGCTAACAAAGCTTTGTTAAAGAAACATTTACAGCTTAAAAAGTTTTCACAGTATTTATAGTATTAAATGCATAACATACAGCTAGAGCATGTTCAGTCTTTATTACCTTGCTATTCATATGCAGGATGTTTTGATGGATTCAGGTGTTTGAACATGAAACTTCTGAATTCCGCTTTCCTGCTGTGCTGACTGGGGTCTTTAAATTCAAAGGCCTTAATTACACATTCCAGGAACTTCACTTCTTATTCTCTCTGAGCTAATACTCATAGCATCTTATACTAACTTCTTCATTTAGGAAACATTGCTGATTTCACTGCTTTGAAGAACTTGTAAGATTTTCTAAATGACAGATGATGTGTAAAATCGTGTAGAACAAGCTCCTGATTAGAACTTGCAGGTTATAAAAACCACTTCCTCTGGTTACAGTGGTTTCTTCCTGCCTCTCCAGCTATTGACCTGAAAAACGATGCTGGAAAAGTGTATCCAGCCCCTGCAGAAGTCGCTGCCGATGTCACGATCATCATTTCAGATGAAGACTTCATGGAGGTGGTCCTGGGCAGGCTCGACCCCCAGAAGGTAATGCTCTCCTAACTTCTACTCAGCGTTATTCTTCCTGCTTGATAATGGCAGGTCAAGTTGATCTGACTCCCAGTTGGGGATTTCTAAGATCCCCTCAGACTCTGAAGAGACAGAGTTGGCACTTACACCTGGCTGACAGATCATAGCTTACTTTTTTTCAGTTGACATCTATTCTTGGATGGAGCTTTACCATACATTAGTAACAACAAAGGCTTCTTATAAAGACTTCTTAATGTCATTAGTCCAAAAACCCTATGAATTAGTGGGTACTACATAAAACAAGACTTTTTTTTTTTTTTTGCCAGTCCTGGGGCTTGAACTCAGGGCCTGGGCACTGTCCTCTAGGATAGCACTCTATCACTTGAACCACAGCTTCACTTATGGCTTTTTTTGGTAGTTAATTGGAGGTCAGAGTCTTAAGGACTTTCCTTTCTGGGCTGCTTTGGAACTGCAGTTCTTAGATCTTAACCTTCCGAGTAGTGATGTGAGCAACCAGTGCCCACGAAGATACTCATTCTCCATGTAAAGGTCTAGTAATTCTTTGAAACCTTGGGAACAGACGTATCAGTTTCCCCGTCTACTGCATAGCTCCCTGTGGCTTAAGGCAATGTTAACATCTCAATTTTAAGCCTTTTCTCCCATATCAGACACTTATCCAACATGTTGGTATACATTTGTCTGCAACTTTTTACAAAAAGGGTGGCTTAAACCAGCAGTATCCAGTAGACATATTAAAGAATGTTAGAAGGTGCACTTCAAAGAATATTTAGCCTAGAACCTACAAATACTCTAATTTCAGTATGTAATCAGTATGAAAACGTTGGTGCTATTGGTGATAGTTACTGCTTCTCAATGTCTGTGTCATGCTTAGAATGTGTGTGTCTGGCCACGGAGGTCTGCTCCTAAATGCTCAGTAGCCATGTAGCCACCTGCTGCTCTTTGCCTCTCATCTGCTCCTGCAACTACCACTCCTCTGATAGAGGTCTGTGCAAGTCAGGCTTCTGTATGATCAAGTCTGCGAACAGATCTCTCTGTCTTTTCTGTGTCTTACGCTCTCGATGCCCATGCCTTCATCCTCGAGCCTGCATGACGTGTGCCCTACTTTTCACTCTCCACCTCTGATGCCCCGGCTCCTTGTTCATTAAACTTAGAACATGAGCTCTAACACCTGACATTTAAAGCCTTCTGTGTGTTCTATGTTGGCCTCTCCCCTTAAACTGTGTTTGATTCTTTAAGTGGCATAAAATATATAAAAATGTAAGAACTGCTTTAATTTTATCTCTTGGGATGAGAAAAAGATCCAGTTCCCATCACCTCTCACCTATTATCCTCCACGTACTAACCAGGCCTGGCCCTGCTTCGCTTCCGAGATCAGGTGAGATGGGGCCTGGTCAGGGTGGTATGACCCTAGAATATCTTCTCTTAATGCTGTTTGCTGTCCAGCCCGTCTACCCACACACATCAGACTAATCATAGCCCTTTATGGAGGTGGCCCGGCAATGCTGTTCCTGATGAAAACATTCACAGCGTCCTGGGAGGCTGTTCGGTGTGATTTCCCCTTGCTCGCCTTTCTGGCCTTCTCCCACACCACTCACCCATCATGCTACTGACATGCCCTTCCTCTTAGTTCTTCCCCATAACCTTTACTGCTTCACAGCTGGTACATGTATCTCTTCTAGAATTCTTCCCTAGCAACCAGAGGAGTTCCCTCCTGCTGGACTCAAATGGCATCCTGTTTTTTTTCCCTGATAGAGCTCATAACAGGTTTTAATTATTTGATTACCGTTTTGTACTTCCCAGCTTGATGTTAACTTCATGATAAGAGGGGTTGACATCTGTCCTGAGCATAGAATACTGTCCAGTACCCTGCAGACACCCGGTTAATACTTAAGTACATTGAACATGAAAAGCGATCCGGAAGTGCAGTTGAGTAGAAATTGGAACTCTTGCTTGGCAGACCACATAGAAGGGTCCTATAAACATGAGATCAAAGGGAATGATGGCGAGAGGAGAGTAACACTGCTTAATGGCACTGGCTCCAAAGCAACGGATGCACGCTTGCCACTGATCCTAGCTCAGTGCACGTTCTGGCAGTCCGAGCCACCATTACAGGGTTACAGTTTGTGTAGACAGTAACTTGAACTCTGCATGGCATGGCAACCTGGTTTTGGAGAAGGACAGAATACTGCAGCCAGGGTCCACCTTGAGAAGGCACCTGGTATCTGAATTTGAAGTCCTTCAACCAGTCAGTGCAGAAATAAATGAAATGGAGTCTAAGAGAACAAATTAACAGATCATCGTAGCAAAAATCTTTGAAAAAATGATCAACAAATGATTAGCTAGCTGTACACAGTACCAGCATAAAAAGCTAGAGATGGAAAGGGAGACTTTGCATTTCAAGTGTCTTGAGTGTTATTTTCAAAACCTATGCTAAAAAATTAAAAAACTCAGAGGAAGGAAATGGACAAATTTCTGGACACAAGTGATCTATACATTGCACTTGAGGAATCAGGCACAGAGGATTCGTACTCCAGAGCAGAAAGACCGTATGTAACACACCTGCACCAGCATACAAGGTAAAAGCGGAATGTGCTTTCTGGTGTCAGGAATAAGACAAGCACGGCTTACCTATATCCATTCTACACAGTGAAATCCCCATTAAAATACCAGTTAAACTCTTCAGTGAGTCACAGAAAACCACCCTAAGATGCCTATGGAGGCAAATGGACTCTGAATAGCCAAAGCAGTCCTGAACAGTCCTGGTTGCAAGTCGTACAGAGCCAGCAGTAAAGGACTCAGAAGTAAACTCACACGTCTCCAGCCACCTGATTCCCAACAGGCATGCTCAATCTCTACAAAAGCCAGCTCAAAAATGGGTCCAAGACTCATGTAGGAGAACATACTGGGGAAAGCAGAGGGAGAGCTCTCGCCCGGTGGTGTTGGGGCAGGGATGACTTTCCAGATGGCCTCCAAGAGCCCAGGAAACAAAAGCAGAAGTTGAAAAGCATCTGCAACAGAATGCTGTGTGCAGCAAAGGAAATAGTTCACAGTGTGAATGGGGGGATTCTGCTGAGCCCATCACGTGACAGAAAAGGTAATCGGCTTACAAAGAGGCAAGCTGTATGAAAAGATGCCCTGAAAGAACAGATACAGATGGTCAGCAAAATACAGAAGAGCTTGATAAATCAGCAACCAGGAATGCAAGTCAAAACTGAAAGTGAATCTGAATGATTCATGCCCTTTGGAGCCACCGTAGGCAGACAAAACCTTAAGACACTTGAATCTCCAGTTAACCAGCCAAAAACCTAGCCAAGTGGTAGAGTGTCAGCTCTAGTCCCTGAGTTCAAGCCCCAATACAGACACAAAAACCAAACTACAGTGAGATACTATCTCAGCCTGCTTAGAATGACTATTAAAATCAAGCAAGAATAACAGATGCTGTTGGAGAAAAGAAACCCTTCCACACCACTGGTGATGTGTAGTACAATACTTTGGAAATCAGTATACATTATACAGGTGGCCTCAAACTAAAAACAGAACTACTATATGACCCTGTTAACACTAAGCCTGGGTGTATCTCCAAAATAAATGGTGTCATCATAGAAAGGAGTTTATGTGTGTTTATTGTGGCACTGTTTACAGAAGCTAAGATACAGAATAAGCCTGGCTGCATGCCATCAAGAGTAGATAAGGGAAATGTGGTGTGCATAAACTATGGAGTATTCAGCCATAAGGAAAGACTTTGTATCATTTGCAGCAAAATGGATGGAACTAGAGAACTTCAGATGCTTAAGTGAATCAAGTCACACAAAGACTAATGCTAACTGCCATTATTGTTTACCATAGGGCTACACATGATCCTTTTTGTTACTTCCTGGCTTAAGTACAATAAACATTGTTAATCTGCTTTTAAAGTTCTGGACTTGTTATTAGGGATACAGTACAGCTCTTTATCTACCTAGTCCTAAATTCATGTGTCAGAACAGAGTAAAGACAGCACAGGTTGAAACAGAACTCCCAGACATGTCAGTGCAGATAAATTATTCTCTGGTTTTCTAGAACACACACAGGAGTCTTATTTTTTTCAGGCATCTAAAAATGTGACCGCTGTCTATTATCATGAAGCTGTCATTGCTTACAAGCCGCCCTGCAGTCCCATGTTTTCAGCCCAACTGTATTCACTCTGAACCAGTGTCTTTAACAAGAAATGAAGCGTACTGTGCTAACCATTGGTTCTCTTTCCAATCTCCTTCCCAGGCCTTCTTCAGTGGCCGACTGAAGGCCAAAGGGAACATCATGCTGAGCCAGAAACTTCAGATGATCCTCAAAGACTATGCTAAGCTCTGAGAGTCCTGCCCGCCAGACTTAACAGTGCTTCTTCTCACCCGTGTGGTGGTCATGCTGCAGAAGGGGTGAAACTAAAATACAGGGGAAACTGCCTAAGGGTTCAGGGTTCAGGTACCTTTTCAGATTTTTATTTTCTACTAATTTTTCACATATTATTTTTACAAGAAACTGCAATCTAGCACATAATTCTGCTACCAGATCTGTATCTTCATAATAAATTCTCATGAATCCAGTTTCTTTAGAACCTGTAATAGCAATTGTAACTTGAAAGGAAAAATCAATAAAAGCTGCTTTGAGACCTTTTACATTTTTTAAATTTATTGACACTGGTTTTAACATGAATGTCTCTGTAGCTATGCATTGTTCATACTTGGTTATTTTGCAGAAGTGACTGAAACTAAAACACAGGAGAAATGACAACATTTTCAGATTTTTAGGCACATATAACATTCCAGAATTAACCGTAATGACATGAAAAAAACCATTATTTCATATGTATGCACACACCCACACCAAGATTGATAGTAAGTTACCAAAGAAAATCCCAGGACAGTACGTGGTGTCACTGCTGGATATTACCTAGACTTTTAATGACTATTCTATAGGATTCAGAACATTTCCAAACTCATTGTACAAGGTGGCCAGCGACGTTGTTACTAAGACCTGACAAAGAAGATTGTAAAGTTCTCACAAAATAACTGAAACCTCTCGGTACAGCTGAAGATATAATTAAAAGAGCACACAAACCCAATAGGCAAAAAAGAAAAAATAACTAGCAGATAGAATTCAACAAGTGATTACATGGATGAACTCAACATACGAAGACAAACATACATCATATAAACAGAATGAAGGATAAAATGTTGTATAATATTTGAGTAGAGAAAAGCATCTGATGAAATTAAAGACCAGATCAAATCCCAGAACAAATTAGATTTAGGAAGCAGTGCAGTAAAGGCTATAGCGGGCAACATCATCATCATGACAGCATCATACTGGAGAAAATCAGAAAGCATTTCCTCTAAGGTCAAAACAACACAAAGGTGTGTATTCTTGACTGCTCTTATTTGATACACTACTGGAAATTTTAGCCAGGGCAGTTAGGCAAGAAAAAAGGAAATGAAATAAGTTGTTTCCCAGTTTGTAGATGGTATCATTCCATTCTTAGAAATGTTTTAAAAAGTAGCAGGACAGGGCTGGGAAGGTGGCTCAGTGGTAGAGAGCTTGCCTTGCATGCATGAGGCCCTGGGTTCGATTCCTCAGCACCACATAAGCAAATAGAAAAAAGCCGGAAGTGGCGCCGTGGCTCAAGTGGTAGAGCGCTAGCCTTGAGCTGAAGAGCTGAGGGACAGCGCCCAGGCCCAGAGTTCAGGCCCCACGACCGGAACCCCCCCTTCCCCCCCCCCCACACACAAAAAAGCAGGATGCAGTCAATATCAAAATGGTTTGTATATATTCACACCACACACACACACACACACACACACAACATATATGCCTGAATATATGTAATATATAGTAATATAAATAAAAACACGTATGTGTATATATGAGATCAATAATAGCTAATGCGACGAAATCAATACCATTCAGAGAAACCAAATAATTCCCTAATTCTAGGAACTGGTGGCTCACACCTGTCATCCTAGCTACTAAGGGAGGCTGAGATCTGAGGATTGCTGTTCAAAGCCAGCCTAGGCAGTAAAGTCCATGGGACTCTTATCTCCAATTAACCACCAAAAGATCAGGAGTGGAGGGTGTAGTTCAGCTAGACACAAAGTATAGTTTCCGAAGTTCTGACAATGAGAACTACTTTCCTTTGTAATGTTCAGATTTCAAAGGAAAAATTTCACCATGATATTTTTACCATAAGGGGAGTTTTTCATTATAGATGTAATAATAATGCATCTATTAGACGATTAACAGCTGAAATAAGGGACTGTTTCAACTACAGAATATACAGGCAGTCACCTAAGATAGCACACACGCTCAGAGCTCCCTTCCTCTTCACAGGGAGAAAACTACTGTCCAGATAAAAACGTTTAATGACTTTCCAGCCACTTTTTTCCTATGATTTCACTGAATTATAATACCGCACCTCATTCTGCTTCCTGTGTTGAGTCTAAATGTGGTACATTTGCATTGTTATGTTCCCTTAAATCTCACAAACATTCAATGCTAGAATGCGAACAAACCATCATTTTAGCGTTACACTAAGAAAGCCAAGCCAAGATGACTCCTCGTGCAGTACACTAGACCGATACTTGGTTCCTGTCTCACAGTGGCCTTAGCCATTCCTACTGCTGAGAATTCCTGCCTGGCTGTTTAACTCCCCATCTCCCATGCTTCCCTGCTTCAAACCCCTGCCTTGTTTTTTCTGAAGAGCTCAGTTTCTCAGCTAGACTCTGGAGTGTTTCTTTTTATAGTTAACAAGTGTTTCAATGTGTATGCTTAAAGATTTCTGTTTCTGAATGTATTCAAGACAAAGAAGTAGAGAGAATAAGTTTAGGAAGTCGGCTAGAAAAGGAAAGTAATGTCCGTAAGTTGTCCACCATGGGCATTTCTCTGTGTGAAGGTTTTTGTTTTTTCCCTTGGTGCAGGTCCTGGGGTTTGAACTCAGGGCCTGAGCACTGCCTGAGCTTTTTTTTGTTCAAGGCTAGTGCTTTACCACTTGAACCACAGTTCCACTTTCACCTTTTAGGTGATTAACTGGAGATAAGAGTATCAGCCTTTCCTGGCTTAGAATCTCAGTCCTCAGATCTCAGCCTCCTGAGAAGCTAGGATTACACGTGTGAGCCACCAGCACTTGGCTCAGCGTGACAGATTAGTTATCATGACACCAACAATTATTACCTAAATATCCCTATTCTAAAGATAATGATCCAGGTTCAGGGAGGTTAAATAACTTCCTCTAGACCACACTGCTATCAAGTGACAGGTTTGGAAACAATAGGCCGTCTTTGTACCTAATCAGCCTTTCCCAGAGTTTAGGATGTCAGGATGCACTGTGCAGGAGTTAACTCCAACTCACCCAAAAAAACTCTAAAGGCATGCTTGTTTGGTAGGCTCTGCATTTAAAACATTAACGTATCTGTACTTTTAGTTAAACACGCAGAACTTAAATGGCTCCATTAAAATTTTATGATAAACACCAGACAATTGACATCTAATGGTCTTACATTTTTAGGGAAATAAACAGGAAAGGATTGGTTTAAAGAAGATTAAAGAGAGCTGGGAAGTTGGCTCAGTGGCAGAGCGCTTGCCTTGCATGCCTGAGGCCCTGGGTTCGATTCCTCAACACCACATAAGCAAAAAGAAAAAAGCCGGAAGTGGCGCTGTGGCTCAAGTGGTAGAGCGCTGAAGAGCTGAGGGACAGCGCCCAGGCCCAGAGTTCAGGCCCCACAACTGGACCCCCCCCCTCCAAAAAAAAAAAAAAAAGATTAAAGAAACACTTTCCCATAGTAAAGGTACTATTGGACAAGAAATGTATTTTGGGTTGTGAGGTATTAGTATTATTCAAATTTTGTTATTCCAAACCCATGATAAGAAGTCATGAGTTTTGACTGAAAATAAACTGACAAATATGAAAAAAAGCATTGTTAATTATTGCAACTAAAATACCAAGTCTACAATTTTTTTTAAAATTATGGTATCCACAGAAACTTAGAAGCTGCAGAAAAGGTTGATCAGACATTAGAGCCTGAGCGGGGCGCTGGTGGCTCACGCCTGTCATCCTAGCTATTCAGGAGGCTGAGATCTGGGGATCACGGTTCAAAGCCAGCCCGGGAGATCACTCTTATCTCAAAATAAATCACGAGAAAACCAGAAGTGGTGCTGTGGCTCAAGGTGGTAGAGTACTAGCTTTGATCTGAAGAGCTGAGGGACAGCGCCCAGGCTTAGAGTTCAAGCCCCACAACCCACCAAAAAAAAAAAAGAGAGAGACTTTAGATTCAATAGGGCTGAATGAATCCAGTCTATCTAGCCCAATGAATGCCTCGATTTTGTTCTTCACCAGCTGCCTTTCATAGTTACTAATAACGCTGGAGGGCTCTGGCTTTCCTGGGGCATGGGAGGACAGATTTGGGAAAGTAGAACACCATATTGGGAAATTCAGAGCAGGGCTGAAATGTTTCCTGGAATAATCTATTGACTTTGATTTTTGCTTTTGAGGCAGGAGAAAATTAACTGGGTGCTGGTGGCTCACGCCTGTCATCCTAGCAGGGGAGAATAAAGCCCTCCTGCTTTGTAGAGTTGGTTAAAAATTGGTTTACAGGGGCTGGGAAGCTGGCTCAGTGGTAGAACGCTTGCCTTGCATGCCTGAGGCCCTGGGTTCGATTCCTCAGCACCACATAAGCAAAAAGAAAAAAAGCTGGAAGTGGCGCTGTGGCTCAAGTGGTAGAGCGCTAGCCTTGAGCTGAAGAGCTGAGGGACAGCGCCCAGGCCCAGAGTTCAGGCCCATGACCAGACCTAAAAAATAAAATAAAATAAAAAAGTTTAAAATTAAAAAGTAAATAAACAACAACAACAAAAAAATTGGTTTACAAGGGGGGAAATGTGAGACCTGGGCTTGCTGCACCAGGCTCTCCCGGTGCTCCCTAAGGATCTATTCTCCTGGTTACTGGCCCTTCTCATGGGTTTGAGTCAGATGAGACGGAATATGGAAATCTTCAGTGACACCTTATGTAATTGTTGCAGACAATACATAGAGGGTATGAGTGTGGTGTCCAGTGATGTAAGCATGTTACTTCATAATATAAGGATTGTTAAGACTGGGTCACTATTGCAGCTGACAACAGAATTTCTCATGTCTCCTCTTAAATTAGATAAGGAAATTATACTTTTTGGCTCCTTTTTCCAGGCAGGCCCAATAATCCACTTTCAGCATAAAACGGCTGTAGAAGATGGACCATTGATCCTCTGAACTTTTCGAGATGAAAAGAGACTAACGTGGTTGAGAGGGAAATGAAGCAGGATAGGTAAGAAGACAGGGAAATTGCATTATTCCAGACTCAGAAGTTGAAACCAGAAAGTGAACTGGAAAAGAAGATAAGCTGTTCTCCATCACGCTACCTTTTAACGTTAAGTTACGAGATGTGGACCTGGAAGCTGTGCCTGCTTTGTTTGAAATGCGAAATTCTTAGAACTCTTTATGAATGGATAAAGACAGAAAGAATGAGAGGAGCTATCTAGCAAAAGAAAGTACTGAAGGTTGCATGTGTTTTGGGTAGGGCTCACCAGTGTTACCCACAGTGAACCGCTGTCTACGGGCTAGGAGTTGCTGGGTGACGTGACCACGTATATTCAC